CGATGTGAAGACCCTCATAACTAAAAATAAAACAAAAGAAACACCCGAACTATTCACGTAGGATATTTGATACAAAAATTCTATACTGAAGACAAAATTAAGCAGAGAGGGTGTGAAATGCTGAGTGAGAAACAGCTAGTTATGAGTGGAAATTGTATGGCAGTTAAAACCGTGCTATGTTACCTACAAAAATCATTTAATCTATAATTAGCCACCTTATATCTTCCAACATGGCTTTCAGACAAAGTTTAGAGTTTAGCATTAATTTACTACCTATTCTTTTTTTTATGGCAAGGTGTTATGTGCACGACAACAGTAAAGATGCGGAGATATGAGCAGAATTCGGAACCTCAATTCAGTTTGGAACTCGCTATTACCCTTTCCGGAGGTTCACTTGCTATCCACTATTTGAACCGAAGCCCTTACATTGCTCTGCTCTTAGCTATTGTTTTTACTGGAATGCGGTATCAACAATCACCTTTCAACGGCAATGATCTGGTGAGCACACATCAGCATTGAACCCTGTTAGGCTAAAGCTGAAGTCGAAATCACAACGTTTAACTTCCATTTACTGCCTATTCTTTGTTTATGGCAGGGTATTATGTGAAATATAACCGCAAGGATTCTGAGATATGCACAAAACTCGGAATCTCAGGTGGACTAAGAACGAAATTCAATGCGAAACTTTTGCTAGATTTGTCTGTTCTTCTACCATGAAAAGAAACAATGGAAACAATGTCGAAATAATTTTTGTGGGAAAACAAATTGATGAAACATCGAAATGTCAGCTAGCGTAGCACGTCTACCAATAGACAATTGGAGCATCGATAAGCCGGAGCTTCAACTAAACTTGTGCTGGTTAAGTTGGTCGTAGGTGTCAAGGCACAAGACACCGCAGACAATTGGAATCCGATAAGGGCGCCTAGAAAACGACGAGTTATCAGTGGAAGCGGTGAGTGTGCGGTCCCATGACGTTCTCATGACTCAGAATAGTGGACTGCTAAATTTTAATAAAACTGTTGAAATGCCTCAAAAATCGACCTCCATTCAATCTCAACATGAATAATCAATATTTTCTTAGATTACGAACGTAAGACTCGGTTGGTGTAAATTTTTGTTCCACTCATGGGCTTATACAGAGTTATACAATTTTTACTCAGCTATTATTTCAACGTCTTCGTCTTCTTCAGCGTATTATTGACGGCTCTTCCTTATTGCATCGGATCCAATACAATGGAACACGGCTCGATTATATAACTTTCGTCGTCGATAGGCTTTTATAAAAGGCGATTGTTGACTGATTGTTGACTGGTAATGTTATCTTTTCGTGACGGTAATCCAGTTATTTGACACTGGAAGAGGGGCTGTGACCAAGCAACCCATATCAATACCCATACCAACTTTCTTTCTAAGTAGATACGTCTTTACTCTTCCATATATGCGTCATCATTGTACCGGAAAGGAAATTGCTTATCCTACTGATACAATTTGATAAAAATGTCATGACTGATTGCTGTGGAGACAAAGAATCTCGATAGTTCGATGAGGATGCATTCCTCACATTCATTCCTAGTATGCCGTAGCCTGTTTACCGCGAGAAGCTCACCGCTTATTTGGTGCAACTTTTAGCATCGTGCTGTTGTCCCCTGTACAAGGAAACTGATTTTCGATGCATCCTCACCGTGTCGTTCCAGACAGCGTTCTAAATGACCTTGTCCTCTTTTACGAACAAGTAGCCTTTCAACGATTAGGGAAAATCTGTTGATTTTTTACGCATAGCTATGATCAGGTTTGCTGGACAGAAACTTACTTCTTATGAGTCAGCATTAATGTCTAGATCGTGCTTACATGAACCTTATAACTGCCAAACTCAAAAGTGGAAAATGGACGTGGACAAATACGAAATCTTATAGACCGACGTCAAACTTTAACACAGTGGAATCTCAGGATGCAGGTGGAATTTGAACACACTGTTTCAAATGTTTTCTTTCTTTGATAAGCTTACATGAGGTTTTTTAAAAAATTTTTATTCGGCTAACGTTTCGACGTCTTCGGCTTCATCAGAGCCGACGATCCAAATCGATAGTCCATCGTGAAACACTGTTCCAAAATTGAAATGGACATTTTGATAAGAAGGAAACCTTTGCCTTCGCTTAGCCATGAGGTCCAATATATCTTAACGCTCGTAAACTGTTCCATCCCATATATGCAAATTCCTGTGTTAAAGCTGTCACTTTAGACGATCCTTTTACTAGATGATTCATATCAGCATTTGGATGACGTGCCTTAGGAAATGTGGGAGTCATAACACACTTTTTCTGGTTATTTTTTTTTCTATTTATTGTTGGTGGTGGTGGTTCCCTTCGACTACGTCGATAACATGACGACAAGAATGATTAAGTGTTAGGTAAGCTCACTTTCTTTTAAAGTAAAAGTGTCTGACTACGATTGCTGTGGTTTCGAATAGTTTTTGCTTAGCAGCATAACCAATCAAGGTTTTGACTTCACGAACCCCTTAATTACACGACTTTCGAGTTCAGACCCTTCTGAGACATTGGAGCAACGTGAAGCGCACATTCCTCTCCCGTCTTCTTCAGTCCACTAACGTTGCTTTTCAGTTTTCTCCTATTTATTCATGAAACGTGCAATCAGGTCCTTTTCTTTGTTCATGGGACCTCACATAGTGGTGTTATCGGCAACCTCTTCTTGATTAAATGATGCACTTCAACTTTACAACTACTTACATGTCTACGAGTTTGCAATGATTTACAATGCAAGGCACTACTGTTCTATAGAACTATTAATATAATTACAACGTTGCTGAGATATTTGCAAAACTCTGGACCACAGGTGTCTATGGTGGGGAACGAACGCGCTATTATCCTTTCCGGGGAGTAACGCGTTCACCACCACACCATGCGGGTCCTTTGTTTCGCACGTCTCTCAGCTGTTTCTATCGATCTTTTTGCCACAGCAATCACCCGTCAGCGGGGTTGATCTGGGGAGCGCAAATCGGCATAGAACCCAGTTAAGCTATGGCTGTAGTTGAAATCACAATATTTTTTTAACGTTTTGTTTTCTGCCTTCTATAATTTTCATGGCAGGTTACTAAGCGAAATACAACCACAACGTTGCTGAGAAAACAAAAGGTTAAAAAAACATTGTGATTTCAACTACAGCCATAGCTTAACTGGGTTCTATGCCGATTTGCGCTCCCCAGATCAACCCCGCTGACGGGTGATTGCTGTGGCAAAAAGATCGATAGAAATAGCTGAGAGACGTGCGAAACAAAGGACCCGCATGGTGTGGTGGTGAACGCGTTACTCCCCGGAAAGGATAATAGCGCGTTCGTTCCCCACCATAGACACCTGCGGTCCAGAGTTTTGCAAATATCTCAGCAACGTTGTGGTTGTATTTCGCTTAGTAACCTGCCATGAAAATTATAGAAGGCAGAAAACAAAACGTTAAAAAAACATTATTAATATAATGTTTTAAGATAAGTGGGAATAGCCACAGAGCAAAAAGTGAGAACAGGTGGAGCAGGTTAGTCCGCTAACGTTGTTGTTGCGCTACCGCTACAGTATTCAGTAGTCAACTAGGGAATTCTTCTCGTATGATGAAAGTTGAGAAATAGACATTCTCCTCTACTTTGAAAAAAAAGGAAAAAATTGTAAACGTGGTATGGTGGTCGCCAGAATGCTGTCCAGTCACATATACATTTCTACTGATGAGAAGATTCTGTAGGAACTCCCTTATACTGAAGCTTAGAAGGGGCATACCTTGTTATTCGTTCACATTATTCCAACGCTACCATGATCAAAAAAAGAAATTTTATTGTCACCACCATGTGGTTTTCCTCCCAGCGGTTTACTGCCTCATCGTGACTGGGAGATCTTCCTGGGTGTAGGGCTGCGATGTATAGCGGCGGAATTCGACCTCTTGGTAAGACCTCCCAAGCTGAGGAGTGTGGTGCTTCTATCAGGAAGTCCAGCTAAAAGTAAACCAATATCAGGATCCACCACCGCACTGGTATCAAATTAGTCGCATGGTGGCAAATCTCCTTCAGGTCCACAAGGGCGGCGAGTGCTAGTGGTGATGACGACCTGGTGCAGACTGTGGCCAGGCTGACCTCGGGACTCTAGAGAAACACAGTGGCTAAACCAGCTGATCTCCGAACAATGGAGAATGTGCTGGGGCCTACACAACCAGTGAGGACGGGGCATCTGAGTATCCAGGCAAACAAGTAAGTATATGATATTAATAGCTCTAAGACGGGCTACTGATTCAATCATAGTTGGTTGCGGTAGAATTTGGACTGAAATTCACATTTCTGTCTAGGAATTAAGGGAAAAAGAGCAAAATAACACTATACATTGCGCAGAGATGACCTTTGAAGGATATAGGGATGGTAGGGGTGCCATGACAGTCTTCCAAAAAAAATCGATGCATCGATCCAAATCGTAGATCACACTACGCTAGCACGGATCATTCACAGTTTTTAATCGCCTTCAGGATTTCTTAAATGAGAAATTGAAGGAGTAGGAGACATATTATTCTTTATTATTTTACAAACGCATATTGAACTATAAAAGTGTTTTACTTATGTAGATTCAGTTTTACAATTTCGTTATGAGTTTGTTGCTTCTCTGTAAAGGAGGGTCGACATGAAAAAATAACCGTCGGCATTATGTATACTTAATATCAGACGATTTGGACATTATCAAGTCTCAAGTTGTTTGCATGTTCTTCAGAAGACATTTCCACTTCAGTTTGTGTCTTCAGAAACCTAAAAGTATAGAGAGTTGGAATGGTTACAATTTGCTTTTAATTAATAGTTGATGGAGTGGGTACCGTTCAGTACTTTCCACTTATGCTCGCCGTCCTCGGGGATACCCAAACCATCCACGTGACTATTAACGTGCACTATTTTACCCAAATACGACGACAAAGCACAAGCGAGTCGGAAACCCCTCGTTCAACTGCCCATTGCGTGAGAGTCTCTAAAAATCATCACGTCGTCTAGTCACCATTACCAACCTGTGAATGCGACAAAATGTTTCTGGATAGGCGCCGTTAAGAATCGACTGATGATCTGCTCCATAGACGATCAGCGGTGTGACGGGCTTTTTGAGCTTCTCATGAAGTTCAACACCATGTTCAAACGGTACAACTGTATCGTTTCCACCATGGCATATGAGCACAGGAACATCGATATCGCCGACTTTGTCACAACTTGAAAAAAGGTCTAGTGAATGAACCAAACGTATGAAATAGTAGTTCATCCTTAGATTTGGAAGGCATCATATCTTATCGTAGGCGGTTTTGCGTTTTTTTCTACTTCTAGATTATAGCAAGACTTTTTTCTGATGTTTCCATCATATCTAACTGAAACAGTTTGATAAAAAGCCTTACTAGATTGATCGCACTATACTATGTCTTTGAGATCTAATGTGTTATTAAGTAAAAATTGAGTCTAAAGTATAGTCAAAACTACTACTTAGAGCTCTGGAAGAATCTGTGTCCTCATAGAGAAAAACTTGTGCTATGGTTATCCCAAGGACGTGGAACTTATCGTCAACACTTTTCTGTAGTAGATGGAGCATGAGACCTCGATCGGATCGGAGGTGGAAGTTGTAAGGCAGTACTTAGTGAGTACACCGGACGAATAAGCAATTCCCATCAAAACACTTTCTCCGTGTGGTAAGCTAGCCTTCCAACGTTTGATCGAGCGCTGTTATCTAGGATCAACATTTGCTAGCATTTTTAAGTTCTTCTTATGTGGCATCAGCTATATTTTGGTATAGGCATTCATCCACCTCCACCGTGCTTAGTGAAGTCTCCTTCCCTCAGGGATTTCGGCAGGGATTGATCATTGCCAGAAGCTTTAACATCCTAACACTTTATTTTCTATTTTCCAATATACGTTGTAAGCCAAAAATGATTTTTGGCCGGAATAGAGGAGTGAAAAAGGATTTTTTTAAAAGATGGGACGTATCCTATTAAGATTATGGTTATAGGCTAATGGATGAGCTGTTGACGCAAAAATGCACTTTTTTTTATCCACCAAGGATTCATCTCAGGAATACCCAGTTGTCAACTGTTGAAGAAGGTTACTCAAATCGAATAAAAATCATGAAATTTCAACAAACCTTTTATACATAGAGCAGTCTGTCTTATGGGAATTGCGTTCCAAATGGGGCAAATCTCCAACTCATTTGATCCACTCAGGAAAAGGATTTTGTGAAGGACAACAATCAAAGAAGAACAGTCATAGGGTATTAGACATTATACCTACTGTTAATACTTCGAAAGCTTAGAAACCACAAAATGTTATCGGTTTGTGGGATAGGATTAACATCATGTCTGCTTTACAAACAAAAATTTAGTCGAAGTTACAAATACGCAATAGTAGGATCAATGGCGAAATCTTTCGACGCGTGGCATCGATTAAAGTAGATGTGGAGCATAGCCTTGACCGCTCAAGAGCTCACTTGACGCTCTATGTATTCGGTCCAAAAGTTTTTCTAAGATAGTGTTTTCCAGCATTTCCTTTCCTCCATTTATTCTCATCTAAAGCGGCCTATTGCACTTTTATCTGCATGAACGACGATTGATCATGAAGCCTTTTCCTTAAAGAATCAAAGGGTTTCATTGAAAGATGACAACCCAATTGTATAAAAAACAACAACGAATTGTGAGGTCCTTATAAGAGCGAACGAATACTATGAAGTGACGCCTGATAGGTTGCACACTATATTCTCTTCACGTCCTTTGAAATCATCGCAAAAGTCGGTTATCAATTAAAATTCGCGAAACTAATATACCAATGCGATCAGTGGTAACGTTAAAAAGTCTTGAAAGTATACGAGAAACCTTGTTGTTATCTTTGGCTATGGCCACGTAAAAAAATAGAGGACTCACGAGTTGAACCTATCGAGGAAGTGCGTCTTTTCACTTCGCGGTTTGTTTCCTAGCAAGCGAAGGCCACTGGTGAACGGTGCAACAAGGATCACACCAGCTAGCCTTTTCGGATGTGATGACGCTAAATCTACGACAGCTGTCGTACCGATGCTATAACCGAGCAGTACTATCTGGAAACATGTGAACACAAGCGCATTCGTATTTCGAATGATCGTCATGATAGCAAAGTATCAGTTGCCCTTTCTATAATAAAGCTAAATTTGGAGCGACCGGCCCACCAGTAAATCCCCTGTTTGTCCCTGCCGTGACGAAGCTACGCAGGAGATTCCGCCATTAAGACAGCAACACTTTTTATGCGGCCACCAATTTTTCTATTATTAGCGAAATAGAAGCTACCACCCATGACTCTCATCGGCTCTGCGAGACGAAACGTAGTAACTACCCATTTTAGATGCTATTCCGAACAAACTATCTATCATATCAGATAAAAGGTCTTTCCTATTTGGCGGTGCTTAAGAGAGAAATTCTGGAAGGAATCGATCGCAACAACGATTCATTAAGATAGGATTTTTTGATCATCACCTGTATCACCTGTTATCCCACTGATCCTCGAGTAACTCTGGACGATGGCAGTACACCTACTATTTTTTACTGCCGTGTTCAAAAGTAACCCTGTGGGTTGTGTTCGCCCACGAAGCACGTTGAGCATCATATCATTTTTCTAAGGCTTTCGCGAAAAACTCTGACCATTGAGTCCCTAGTCTTCCTGCTGCATGTTTGGCATCCCAAGGAATCCAGTTACTATTGGCTCTTGTCCATCGGTTGTCATTCACGCACATTGCGCGTCCAATCAACTTTATTTTCGACCGTTTGGCGTACAGAACAGCATCGTTGGTTTTTGATCGCTGACGTAGATCGGAGCTTCGGATTCCTTCTCTTACTTGCATGATACGGAATACTCTCAGCAACATCTTATTGAAGGCGCGTTCAACAACGCTGAGTAATCTTTCATCCTGCTTACATAGTGACCAGATTTCCGACTTTTAGTTTAAGGCAGAAAGTATGTTAAGTCGAAAAGGTGGGCACGGAGTCGGGTGTTCCTTGTTCTCATTACTACATCCTTGATGCACTCAAAAATTCCCCATGTCGCTTTCTGCTTTCTACTCAACTCTATAGCTATGTCGTGAAATAGGCAAAAGAAAGATGCGGAATCCAAGGATAGGATCTGAAGAAAACTACAGCTGTTTACAGCTACAATGGAATCGTTCAATATTTGGAAAGGCTTTTCGAAATAATTGTGAGACAAATCTCGGAAGCTCCGGACAGCCGCTGCATCTGTGCTGAGAACATTGTAATCTTTCATGAGATAAGTAACAACTCCACAGTCTTTATTTCGCAATTTAAGAATTAAATTGTCAGCCATTGACGTGAAATGGATATCTCCTGGACTTGTTTACGACTAGTTGGAAGAAATGAAAGGCTCCGACAGGAGGTCATGGGAGAGCCGGTAGTATATAAGTGCACTGCCTTCGCTTTGGGAATGGAATCATTTTTATAATATCAAGCATACGCACAAATTCGAGAGCGAATCTGGAAAGATTCGGGCAGAAATGAGTCCCAATTAATTAATTCAGTCCCAGGATTATGCGAGCCGCAAATGTCATGCGAAACGACGTGACACGGAAAAGAAATGCTAATGTGAACCTGTTTGTCCGGTCTTGTTCGAAGAACGTAATCGTATATAGCCCTAATATCGGCGTAGATGTCCTTTTCGGATACAGTGCCAGTAGAGTAACCGTAACTGAAGTCATCACGTTTGATATGAAGGAAATAAGAGGCAGTGCATTTTTCTTGCAAGATTTTTTAAAAATTATTATGCTGTTTTTACTGCATATCATTACTTATCTCGTTATCATTCGTTATTATTTTGTTTTCAGCAAAACCCATCTGTAAAACAGGGTAGAAATTTTGTTTGAGGTAAAGCGATTTGAATATTGTTTTTCGTTGAAGAAATAAGAAATATCCAGTAGCATCTCTTAATAACTCAAAAGTACGACATTCTACAAACGTCAGCATAATGGTCGATATATTTGTAAGTATACCCCCACGATCTGCCATTTCTTAGTCGACGCGAGGTTGGTATAGATTTTTCCACTACTGTTGGTTGTAACAATGGGTGACGTTTCGGCGACTTCGACTTCTTCAGAGCCTTGCCGTTGGACCACCTGTGTGTTGTTCATGTGGGATGATGGTGATGGAGCATATTTACAGTCATATCCAATAGCATTTTTACCCATTCTCACATAGCTGGTTTTAGCAGCTCAAAGTACAAAATCATTCCTGAACTTCTCGAGCGGAGGAATCCATATGAATTAGTGTAGAACAAACCCTGAGTAATCAAACCCATAGACGTCAACCTCAAATATGTCAGCGAATTGGGTAAGGTTCATAAAACGTGGCTGTAAGAAGTTGCCGAGATCTGACGAGTTTGGCTGAGTAAAAATTATCACCTGAAAATTCTTGTACTTCTTAACAGAATTGGTTACTAAACTCTTCACTTTTAGTTCCGGAACAGCCATTCGAAGGCTGCGTTTTTTTCAAAGAAGACTTCTAATAGAATTCTAAAGAATAACCCAAAGCCAACTTTTTTAAAAAATTATTCTGAGTTTAAGGTGATAATATTATAGAAAGAAACCTGTTTTATCATACGTCTACTCGTCGTTGAATGGTATGGCTGACATTGCACAGCAATGAGATGATGACCATTAGACGTGCGGACGGTAAATGGCTTAAATAGAACATTTACGGACGTAATTAGTAAGACTAGTCCTACATTACACGCAATCCACAGAGCCATAGTGTCTTAAGCTTAGCAATAGCTGGCCACGTGTCGAATTGCTGATGAGTTGGTAACCTAAGTATTTATGTTGTAGCTATATCTAGCATGTTTATGAACAAGCTGAGAGAAGAAAGAATAACCAACAAAATATTTCTACCTATTCCCTAGTTTTCGACGAGTTTCATGATCTTTTGCTGTATGCCCATCCGTTTACTTAATAGCTAAACTTCACTAATGGAATGTTACCATAAGTTAATACCATCTTAGGGAGCGGATAAAACTATGTAGTGTTTCCGTTCATTATGCAGGCAGCCGAACCTACCCAGACGCTGGTTCGGCACTACTCTAGACCAACGAAGCCACCCCTTCCACTGAACTTAGGAAATTAGTATCAGACTAGTGTGTGAAAAATTGAATTCCTCAATTCCAGGCGGAAAGGCCCTAGCACGACTTCTTCGACTTCACGAATCTCAAGATTCTAACGAGCATTGGCTCGAACAGCACGCAACGACGTTTGTGACTTCGATGAAAAAATCTCCAATGAGCTGCCGACGTCACACACAAAAGTTCGAAGATTATCCTGGACGATGGGTGAGAGAAAACCAATCGTTTTGAAGGAGTGCTACGATCAGCACAGTGGACCATAGATAGTATCTGGTTATGTAGTAAATAGGTGTAAATAAATATCTTCTTAAAGAGGACGAAAATAGTGCTTACGAATTCGTCGTTTTCTCTGTCAGCAATCGCCAAAATGTTGAACAGCATGCGTTTACTTCCATAGAATAACACACATATAACACAATCGTAGCTGACGTTTCGGCAGAATTGCCTTCTTCAGAGCCGCTTTTTTCCCCTGTCTTCCACTGAGAAAGAACTCCTTATTCAATGGAAGTAAATGCATGCTGTTTAACAACCTCGCGATTGCTGAAAGAGAAAATGACGAATTCTTAATCCAATGCCGAGGTTAATAGAAAGTCGATCTTGGGTACCATTACAAAATAGTGATTACCTTGTAACCATATTAAACCAACCTTCACTCTGGACAACATGAATTCGTAGGCGAACTGAGGGGTGAATTCTAGCGATTTCGGCACAATGAGAAATTCTTGGTCAACCAACTACAAAGTGATAACAGTTGGTAAAGAGAGGTAATGATCGAGTTAACTCCACCTCGTCAGCTCCGTTAACTTTCTTTTCGGGATGTCCCACTCTATGAACGGTATAGGAGGCGCCTTTTTTTGGCGGATGAAATGCCAATTTACGTGCAATACTTTCTGGAATTGGTGGGCATCCGATGTAACAGCACAGGCCGCAAATCTGAAGATAAACCGACCGCTGTAAGGGAGCTTCTTTAAGCGTGAACCAACTTCAGCTGTACCTTTAAAAGTGCCGTAAAAATTGTAAGACAATTTGGTCTGGGCAGTTGAGCTGAAGAATCCGTCTGAGGAGAATCCACATTTTCCTAAAACTGTCGCGCTAATTCAACACAAAAGAGTTTCAGAGAAAATCAAAACCAGATCTAACATGGCTTGTGCAGTTGTAATTCACTTAATTCCTTGCGGTGAAATATTGTAGTAAGAAGTAAAAAAAAAAGTTAACGCTGTGATTTCGACTGGGTCAAATGTCTATTTGTGCTTCGCAGATCAATCCCGTTAACAGGTGATTGTTGATGTCTCCGGTAGACAAAAAACCAGCTGAGAGAAAGGCGAAACGAAGGACCTGCATGGTGTGGTGGTGAATGCGTTAGCTCCCGGAAAGGGTAATAGCGCGTTCGTTCCCAACCACATACATCTGCGGTCCGGAGTTTTGCAAATATCTCAGCATAGTTTTGGTTGAACTACTGATTTCTCAATAGCACTAGCGTAAAACATGCATTGACTCTTTTTTCTTATTGCAGTCAGAGCGAAGATCCCACTCATTGAGTGAGGACGTTTACCTATGACCACCTATGACCCAATGACCAGAGGCAGCACCGACCTTATACCAAACGCGTGTTTCGCCTACCATCGTAACTAATGTTACCAAACATATAAAGCATGTAATTTGTATAAGAAAGCGAGTGGCTAAGGCTGAAGTTTACCAAAATATCAAGTTTCCATAAAGGGCCGTCCTTCAAGAATTAGGCCTCAAAACATCTAGTCTGACTGGCGCACAGCACCTTAAAAATTTTTTGAGAGCCATGAGGTGTATGCGTCAGTTAGTCCTCGGATCTCCAGTCTTTATGAATCAGTGGAATAGCTTGGCAGCAAAAGTCTGTTAGAAAGTTACTTATGAAGAAGCAACTTACCTCTTCTAATGGATGTATCTTGACCATTGCTTAACAAACACTCTTTCACAGGGACGTCGCAATAAAAATGAACTAACCCACTCTAGTGTACAACTATAATTGAAGGATCATATATTTCGTTTGTTTACCGATTGATTATCGAACAAATAAAGAGGAAACATTCTATGCCTCCAACTCTAATGATAGTGATAATCTATATCACCCATTTTGTGGTTAATGGAAGTAATGGAAGAGTCCAAGAGTGGAAGAGTTGGAGAGTTGGAAGAGTGGAAGTAAGAAGTAAGTAATGGAAGAAGATGGAAGTAAGAGTTAATGGAAGTTGCATCAGTAGGTTCTCCATTTCACATGAACGTGAGTACCTCAGCCACAGCTACGTTAACCCACTGGCATTGCTTTCGAGAAGAGCATTTACGGCAATATTATCACATTGTAAGATTGCGTTCGTCAGAAAACGAGACAAACAGGTCCTCTAAGCTTTCAGGAATCAGTCGTTTTGTACGATGGTTGTTGTTCATAAAACGCTAGGATTATGCTTATTTTAGTTATTTAGTTTTAAATTATGGTCTAACTGAGCACCAACTCGTGACAATTTGGTCATCAAAAATTGCAATAGTGAGGGCACAGTGCAACGTCCTCACCAATGTTACTTGTTTAAGGAAAGTTCATAGGCGATGAGTAATTTAATTGTGTACATTTACAGTCGTTTATGGTCGAGCGATTCAAGGAAGCACCTGTAAAGTGTCCATTCATTAGCATCGTGTGCGCTCTTGATAGCAAAACGAAGAGTGCCACATTCTTGATTAGAATCTCTGAAGTCAGGCTTTCGCGTAGGTTGTGCTATATTGCACTCAACATGTCGGGAACTACGTCTCCAGTTGCTTGTGTGGACCGGTTGTCGTTAAGCAATATCACTCCTCCGGTGCTCCTCCTGCTCTTCATCTTTATGCGTTAGCAGAATACCTGATCTCTTATCTTCGACGTGGACCAAAACTTAATTGATTCCGGATGTTCACTGTATCACCGTTTTAACTGGTACCACTTAATTGGTACTGTCGACACCACTCATTCAGCTTTTATCTTCTTAACGTAACATCCAGATTTCCGAAATGTACGCTAATGTAGAAGAATCATGGAATCGATGGAGTAGAGAACATGCCACTGTTGTGTCTTCTTCACTACTTTCTCGACACTTCTATGTGCTTGCCAAACCAATTGTTTCCACATGTACAGTTCTGGAGCTAGGCACTTTAACGGAGCATCGTGGCGATGTCTGTCTATTACGAACGTTATTTTTTCTTCGCTTTACTCGTAGACCGGTTATTCCACATAAATTTCTGGCTAAGTGATCGGAAACATGAGTTGTTCACGCAGAGTCTGTAGGCGTGAACATCAATTTCGACATATCCTTCACTCGTACACGGACAAAGGAGGATTCTGTTTTGTATATAACGTCTGGCGGTCAATTAATCTAAGTATCTCCGATGATATCACAGAGTGACCATGGACTGGATGCTAGGCACCTAACTGTCATGGTATAAAGTTTCGGTCACCATTTAGCAAGCAGTGTAAGTTGGCTCATCGGCCAGTTTGTACACGCGCTTACCAATTTTCAATTGGCTTTTCATCACGATTGGATGAAACTCTCACGAAACATCTGCAAAATTATGAACATTCATTCGTACTCGAATCTCAAAAGCCGAACATGGAAAACACACATGGCACAAAAATAGCAGAATAGAGAAGAAAATGCTTCGCGAAAGATTGAACGAAAATTACTGAGAAGAAGGTATGGACGAGTACCATTACAGTGTCGGTAAGGGATTCCAAGGGAACTGCTCAATAGAGCTAGAAGTGGTGGGTTCGCAAGGCATGGCTTTCAGCGCTCAATTGTGCTTTGTACGCTATAGCTTCTAGATGTTGCTCCAGTTCGTCTCTCGATTTCTGAAGCTCTGCCGCTCTGAAACCATCAAGACATTAGAAGACAGGATTTTTGACGATCTCTGTTTCAATATAGCAAAACATATATTCAATTCAGTACAGTGACAGATCCTGGTATTGGTTTACTCTTAGCTGGTCTTCCTGATGGAAACGACGAACTCCTTTTCAGCTTGGGAGACTCTGCCAGGGTGATGAATCCACTTATTGTACATCGCAGTCCGACACACAGGAACACTTCCCAGCCACGATGAGGGGTAAACCGGGAGGCTCCGTATTGTGGCTTGCGTATATCTTTTTTCCTCTTCATGTACGGCTTACAGAGACAATTAAAGTAATAACGAAACAAAAAAGAGTTATAAATAGCATGTACTAGTACACAAGTAAATAATTAGCATTACAACAGCATTTTCTAATGCCAGAATATCCGAATGTTCTCACCTTTCCAGAGAAAGAAACAGTTGTTCGCCTCCACTACCGATCATTTTCAAGAACAAAATAAAACTGCAGCGCGGAAATTTAAGTTTCACTACAATTTTGCTTACAAAAGGAGATGAACTTTCAGCACGTTTTAGTACGATTGTATGAAAGAGTGCTTCACCAAAGTATTGTCAACAAAGAACATCGGCCAGGACTAGAATACCATGGCAAGTAACCGGCATTTCTATGAACAACCCATACACTAACAACTGGAGTAAAACTTTTTGCAGAGGAGATATGTGCCTCGAGTGATCGAAACGAGTTAATTGACTAGTAATCTGTCTAGAGTGAAACACCCTCAGCGTAACGCAGCAAAAAGAAACAGGAGAAAGAAAGTGAAAAATAAAACCATAACAGCACAGTAATAATTTCTCATGAGTGATCACAACCGCCTCTCCACCCTTAATGGTTAATAGTTCATTAAAGCTACCAACTCATTGTGACTAGAAGGTATTATTGGCTACGAAACTGCAATGTAAGAGGGAAGGTCATCGCCCAGCCTGGTCACCGAAGGGTTCGACATTTCTGTGTAGAAGCGCAACAGTTAAAGTGAGCATAGGACACGACGGAGTCTAGAGACCTACTCGTAAATCACTTTCCATTAAAAGCAGTAAAAGGCGCGGCTATCCGTATTTGTGTGATATGGCCGAATTTGCTGCAAACTTGTTATGAAGTGGCATTTGTCCATGGTTTGTTCTATTATTATTGCTTCCCTATTACTATTGCTATTATATTATTGCCATTTAGTATATGTTCAGGAATGAACGCGGGGCGCATGTGGCGCAGCGGTTGGAGACGCCACTGCGACACACAAGTGGAATCGATCCCCGCGCTTATGGCCCACCAAGCCTTCCATCTCTCCGGGGTCGGCAAATAGGTACCAGACTTGTCTAAGAGGATACCAGTACTGGCTCGATACATCGGTAGGCTACCATTGTGAAGGCCAGGTATGCATTCAATCACCTCCAATGATACTTGATGAAGTTGAATGCATGACGCATCCCTCAGGGACTGATCAACCCCGAAAGCTTTATCCTTTTATTATTGCTATTATTATGATTATTTGTTCTACTATTATTGTTCTACATATTGTCCGACTAAGTTCATTTATCTACTAAGCCAAATTGCTCTTGCTCCATATTTCGAAGTCAACACGGTATACTGCGAAAATTCCGTTCAAATGTGTTTCTAAACTGTTTGTTCCATGGAATATGTTGAAGTAGCTTGGGAATTTTCCGTTCCCGCATGGTAAATAGTGATCCGCATGCCTTCTAACAGATATCCACAACTAACGAGCTTTAGATTGGAAAACCTTGCTTATACTGGTGGATGTACAAAAAGATCATAAGACCTCCGTGAGTTCTCGGTGGCGTCACGAGTAACGGCGGCAAGAACGTCCTGCAAATCAACCAGTTGTTTCTTCATCGATGTACATTCTGCTTCGAGTTCTTTACGCTGGAATGAGAAACGACGTACACTGGTCTTTCTAAAATTAGGTTTGTGGTAATTTATAATCGAAGTTCTTCCTTAAAGTTAAAAAAATTTGCAGCTACCAAAATGCGCTAATTTAGCATTTGGCTCACCGCTTCTTCCCATTCGTGTTTCTCCTTTTGTAAGCGCACCTTCCATCTTTCATCCAGCTTTTGCAACTCGCTTTCAAAATTCGATGCATGTTCTTCTAGTTCGGCGTTTCTGAGAAATCAAAAGTAATGCATTCAAAAAGGAATTTAGAATGTTCTAGGGACACGGCCTCAACTAATCTGCTAACGTCTATGCAAAGCCACTTAATGAAAATTGGAAATGAAAGTGGTTGTTAAGATCACAACAAAGAAGAAGACGAAGAAAGAATTGGAGAAAGGACTCCTATTGTCATCTATGATGGGTTCTTGCGAGAACGAGTAAAATAAACAGCACAGGTTATCACACAGCCGCTAAATTTTCCAGATTCCTACGTCCACATCACTGTGTACGATAGTAGTACCTCTGAATAAGTCTTGTGTTTTCCTGAATAACGGTCGTTTGAAGATCATTCAGTTCATCGAATCGACACTGAACCTCATGGGCGACTGCCTTCGCGCGAGCAGCTTCTGCTTGATGGCGTCTGGCGTTGTCCTTTGCGTTTAAGTAAGCCATTACACCATCGGCATTCTACAAAGGCATTCCTTGGATAATTCTAGCCAGTTTAGTAAAAAAAATTCCTTTAAAAATGTTGAAAAATCCCTCACTTAGCTTCTACACCATCTTGTGTATGTCGATTATCATAACACACCACAGCATTAGGTTAAAATCCCGCCAAAAGGAAAAAATAATTGAAAATTATGATGCTTCAATAAGAGCGGAATCAACCGTAGTTGGTCAGTGATGCAAGGGCTCTCACAAGTATAGACTTTTAAGCATTCCGAAAACAAAGTTAGACCAGTAGATTTCAGAACAGAAAGTGCTTCTCTTGTCTTACGGCCAGATTATCAAGGGAGATTTGGCTAAGTGATAATGGCTGTGAGCAAATTGCATGATGCTGTTGATGAGCATTAGATTGATTATGCTCAAATCTTGTACAAAGTCACTTCACTTGTTGTTGTAATGGCAACTTGAAATATTCACTGAAGAACTTGAAACTTGGTACTAGTGGAACTTGAACGGCTGATCCCAAAACTGATGATGGTGGTTGATGTGCAGCAATTCATACGAGATTTTCAGACTCACGTTGATATCAATCGCATTTGCCAGTGGCCGTAGTGAAGCGAGTTCGTTCGTTAGCAAATCACGAGAGATGATCGCCATCTGTAGTTGTTCGGAAAGTTCTGCACAGTGTTCCGTCATTGTTTCGCATTTAAGAGCCAACGATGAACTTCTGGAACGATTAGTGAAATAATAGTCATTACTTTAACGACTCTCTAAGACCAAATAAATCTAGTCTTGGCTATTGCATAGTGGCCCTTACTCCTTTAAATTTACCAGTTAGAGCCCACCCCCAGTTCTTTAGTGATTTCATTCAATCCTTATTACTAAATGTGAGAACATGATACCACCTCACTTTTCTCTCGCTTCCCGTAATTCTTCACATAGTTGTCGATTCTGCATCTCAGATTCCTCCCGAATTCTGGTTAGTTCCACATCTTTGTCGTGCAAGTTTGAAGTTAGTTCTGTCACCTAAATATGTTATTCAAGTAGTGGCCTAGTAATGAGGAATAATTGTGAGAATCCTGTTTTCACTCACTGCACTCTCCAACATTTATGAATAAGTGGTCAGGGATTTTTTTTGTTGGGTCAGCAAGTGATTAGGGTTATTTATGCTGTTCTATAATAGACTGATAGCCCAAGGAAACTTTTCGTTTCTGTTGAGTACGATTTTTGTAAGAAGCATTTAGTCTTCTGACAAGAGTCGTTTAATAATCATTATAATGACAATGAGATTGGGTTGTCTCCTGTGGTGATTACTAGAAAATTGGAAAACGTCCATACCTTATTGCCTAGATAGCTTTGTTCACTGCTCATCGTTCTTAACAGGTCCAATTCTTCATCCATGGCATGTAGACGAGCTTCTAGTTCACTACACTGGCTTTCATATCCCTTGATTTCCCTAACGTATGAAACAATACTTGTTGTGCATATTCAAAAGCAAATAAAAACAGATAAACATTCGGCGTTTATCAATGTCGGAGGGATGTGCCGTGCATTCAATTTCATCAAGCATTGCATAAGTGCATTCAGTGAATGCATATCGAAACTGCAATAACTAGAATTGTTTTATCGATATGTCAATTCAGTGTGTTTATCTTCCGAGACAAGGCTGGTAGCAATTTGGCGATCCCGGGTGGAACGAAGGCTTGATAGCCCCAGAGCGCGAAATCGAACCAGTGACTGATCAAAGTGTATTGCTGAGTCCCCTAACCTTTGCGTTGCACACACCTCAGCGAGAGTCCAATATGGAGCGAAAAATTAAGAAGACCATTTAACATTTCGAATGTTACAAACTGCTTATTGAAGTTTAGTACATCAAATGGTATACTGAGTCTGAGTTACCGCAATCATCAACATTGTGGCTATTTCATGTTCGGTTTCGGATGTTTAGCACATCAATCTGATTTGAAGACTCAAAAACAGACAACATAACGCACACTGTAGAACCCTCAGAATACGTAGAAACTTCAGGATATATACTACTATGCTTGGATGGCCCGTCTTCACTGGATGTGCGCGCCCCAGCATGATTTCCATTCTTCGCAGATTTTCAGGTTTAGCCACTGGGGTCTCCTGGAATCTCGCAATAAGCCTGGCCAAAGTCTGCACCAGGTCATCACCACCATAGGCACTTGCCGATCTTGTGGATCACAGAGAGATTTGGCACCATGCGACTAGTTTGATATCAAGATAGTGATGGAACCTGATATTGGTTCACTCTTAGCTGGGCTTCCTGATAGAAACGTCAGACATTTAAAAACCTCGCGATTGCTGAACAAGAAAACGAAAGAAACATCAGACTCCTTTTCAGCTTGGGAGACCTTGCAGGGCGATGAATACCCCTGCTGTACATAACAGCGAAGCACCCAGGAACACCTCCCAGCCACGATAAGGCGGTAAACCGTTGGGAGGACTTCCAGAATATAGTATGTCTATTCATAATTAGAAAAAATTGTGACCATGCAACCACTTACTTTTCAGCCTTTTGCAGTAAGTCATTTGTTCTTCGAATTTCTCCTCGCTGTTGCTCAATAATCACATCCTTACCAGTGGAAATTTTCGCCAAGTCGGCAAACTGTTGCTCAATAGGAGACAGTTTCCGTACACTGTCCTGAGGTCGCTGATCCTCATCCTTAGACAAACACAAAATTAGACGGTTCGTGAACAGCATTTATGAAAAATAATTTTCGTTAAGGAAAAAATAGCACAAAACATAAGTAGTATAGGAAAGAAGATTAAGTAGGCCCAATTGAGTATCCAATCATTTGTTCAAGCAGAATCTCATGGCCAACGAAGACTGCTATCCGTTCGATTCCAACAACATAATCAGACTCGTCAGCAAACATTGAGCAGCGATATTTATGTTACTAAAGATAACTCTCGGAAGTAATAGAAAAGGTCCCGTTCGCTACCTCATTAAATTTGTGAAAGATACGGAAGTGTGGCTGCTTTACGATATCGACAAATTCTCATCTCCTTATCAGCGCACCATATCGGCTCATATTTAATTCCTCCCACAATGATCTATCGTCCACGGGGTATTCCTGGATACTGAACTGTAGTGTGTAGCCGAAGTGTTTGTTTATCCAGCAGGGTGAACCGAAATGAGAACTTAGTTCGACATTGCCACTTAGAAGTGTAGCTAAGAGAAAAACTATTCACGATGAAACACATCAAGCTATCGACGGTTAGCTTCTCGAAAAGAACAGTGAAAATAAAAGGCTTATAACAACGAGATGATGGTTTTCATGTCCATCGAGTGAACGGCCCGAAGAGCAGCTCTGAGCGCATAGAGGAACCTGAGAATTAACCCATACCCCATCCAAATGTTGCACGCTTAATGCGATTGCAGGTGATACAGCTGCTTCCACTTACAGTTTGTGTGAAATCGACTGTTAATATAGTCCATTTCTGCATTACGTATATTGAAAGCAAACGTTATTTTCAAGTTAGTCAGTTTGGATTCAAAAAAAAAAAAACGAAACAAACCAGGCACTAAATGACATTTTACTTTGCCTAAACAAACCTGAATACTCTTCGATGGATCAACGGGTTCTATCGTCGCCTTACACTGTGCGCTGCTCTCTGGAGAAGCTTGATCACCGCGCTTTCGTGTTGAAGAAGTTCGGGGAAGTTCTTGAAAAGTTACAGTAATAGCCAAATGAGTCTTAGTAGTGATAGAGCTTACTAAGACAGTAGCACTAAGTCCAAAACGGATGTAAATAAATAAATATAAATACGCGTTTCGTCAAATAATTTCGTCAAAGTTTCGTAACACTTTTCTGGCGAAATGAATTATACGTAAGTCAGATGTGTCCAGGGACTTCGCTCAACATGAATCGTACGTGAATCACTTTTACACGTTGCAATTTACAAAGTGTTACCCCACGATCTTCTTCGTTTTATTGAATCTCAAAGCCACTTCCCCTCTTCTCATGCAGAAGAACACTTTCCCTAAGGGGTGGGCAGCAATATATCTCTTCTGCACGCCACAGGTGAATAATTCCTACGACTACTTCCTGCTTATTGGGCAAAGAAAGTAATACAGAAAACTGTTGCCAATGTGAGTGGTGGAAATTGAAGTCTTTACCTTCGAGAGTTCCGGCACCTTCCTTAATTAGTATCGCGAAAAAATTGAAATTGTCATATCAAAACCACCGTCGACGTTGCTTTGTATGTTCAAACTTACTTTAAAAGCTTCTGAACTCATTCTTCTATTTCCTTCCTATGTTTTCAAAATCTTTTTCTGAGGAACATAGGATTAGACTAGGGTCAGGATAGAGACTTTTGACATTTCTGAGTTCTATTTCACTTTATCTTTCACTTTTTATTTCACTCTTAAAAAAATTAAGCGGGAAAATCACCAAATAGACTGCTTCCAAGCAATTTCTGCACAGCCGTCACTGAGCGCTCGAATTGTTTGGAGGCGTTTTCATAGCTACCAAACGGTTGACTGAAAGAATGACAGCGCTGACCTAAACAACATTAGTTTTAGTATAAAGGCATTCAGTTCTTAAATACATAAATAAACAGGTGATTATAAACACGTAAATAGAGTTACTCTAGTGTTCTTGATATAATGATATCCTTCCAACGACTCATCACCTCATAGTGGCTGGAAGGTAATCCTGGGTGTCCGGCTGCGATATACAGCGGCGGAATTCATCTTCCCAGCAGGGTCTTCTAAGCTGAGAAGGAGTCTGGTGTTTCCATCAGGAAGCACTGCTAAGGCCCAATACCAGGATACACCACCGTCCTGGTATCAAACCAGTCGCATGGTGGCAAATATCCCTCTGATCCACAGGGGTGGCGGCTGCCTGTAGTGGGGAAGAACTGGGGCAGACTTTGGCCAGGCTAACTTCGGGACTCCAAGGAAATACAATGGCTAAACCATCAATGCTCCAAAAAATGGAAATTATGCTGGGCTCCCACAACCACTAAGGACGAGCCATCCAAGTGCCCAAGTAAGTGAGTTCTCGATATTCTTGTTAAGCAAACACGAAGTGCTGCTTTATTCTTTATTAGGTTAAATCTAACGTTCCGGCAGTATCACCTTCTTCATCATGTCACCATGTTCGCACAGGAATATCGTAAGAATGACCGGATGTCGAAATCAACTGATCGATCAATCGAAATCGACTATTTGATCAATGTCGAGGTTAACAAAACGTCGGTTGTGGAAATGGAAATTCCTTCGGTGTTCTCTTTCAGCATCCGTGTAAATTTCAAAATGTTAGAACGACATCAAGGAAAAAAGGAAGAGTAGGCTAATAAGGAGAACATGATGCTGTAAGGGTCACTATTAACTTGGAGAATAAGTATATATCTTTAAGAGTTTTACGAATCACAGCACATTTTCCAATCGTTTCGTTATCTCACAACAGTTGTCTATCCGCAGTGGTGGTGTGTTCCATGAACAATAATGTCTAAGAATATCTCTTGACTCATAAATCGACCCCGCAGCAGTTTCTAAAGCTAAATAATGTGAGTGGGCGATTTCGTTCGCCCGTTTTCTTCGTAGACACTCAACTGTTCGTTCCGTCCTATCGTTTACTCTAGTCATCACGTAACTGACACGTTCATAGTTCGCATTTTCTACCTCCCATGAAGTGTTTCGCTGAATATTGACATTTTGTCGTAAGCCCGAACCACGCAGACTGGCTCGATATTGTGCCTTATGTTTCAGAAGACAACACTCAAAGGTGATCTGTGCTATGGGTAAAACTCTCAAATAATTCTTTATATTCTCGTTGAGAAAACACGAGGTGTTATTTTATTCTTTATTCACGAACAAGCTGATGTTTCGGCAGATTTCGTCTTTCTCAGAGCCTGGAAAAGTCAAGTTGACAGCAATCTATTCGGCCATACACCTCCATAACCGAACAGACAAAACTCTCAAAGTGACAGACCAATTTTTAATCTCATAGTAGGGCCGTCTGGTCAAAAAGGTGAGCAATTAATTTCGGCTTTGCCAGTTATCGCGGAATACTCTTTAAGGTTTGATGAAGATCATGCCATTGTATCAATGAAATTGCTGCACTGTGATAGGAACTTTTGTGAGCAATCCTGCTTCTAATTCGACGGAGATGCCTGTCAGGCAATGTGAGGCTAATCGAAGGCCCTCGGAACTCAGCATGCAAATCACATAGCAGCTGAGAAGAAACCTTCAATCTCTTTGGCAGAGTCCTTTGCAAGAAATGTTGCTCCATGGGTTGGAGAAGTTCGTTTGAACTGCTATGATATTGTCTGGTCCAACTGCAGTCTCTTTTACATGCTTCTAACTTTAATAAAGCGGAGTCATTTTTTCTACTCGTTGCTTTTTGAGCCCAATAAGAGGTTTAAACAAGGAAAAAATGAAACAGAGATTTCTTCAGAATCGTTTCCATATGACATCGGGTCGTGATGGGAATCTGATCCTCACTCGACAATATCAAATGGTTCAAAGCAATTCTACAAATGAACTTGAATGCAAACCGCATTATGTTGCATTAGGATCACAATTCAGTTTTCTCTTATTCTTTAGCAGTTCCTGGAGGTAATGAAAATACGACCCGAACTTCATGACCAAATATGAGGCGCGTTGAACTTGGATTCTAGGATTTTCGCTCAACAGGTTGTACTCTTCTTTCGGCTCCTTGTTAATCTACTAGTCATGCAGAAAGTGATATTCTGCCAAAATGCTCTATTTATGCAAATACTTCAATCTTTTCTTCTTAGATGCTGGAAAGAGATCTGTCCCATATTGTTACTGAATTCAATCTCCTTATCTTGAAGGCACAGAGAGCGAAAGTGCGGAATGACGGGACTACGACGATGGCAGCATTTGTTCAGAGCGATCCTCATAAGCACCCCACGGCGATATTTTTTTCTCCTTACTAAATAAAATTCCAAAAAACTCGCTTTTTATTCCTTTATTCCAAGTGTTCCGCTCCTGTGTTTTATTTCGATAACTTTTTTCTATTCTGAGGTTAGAGTGGAGAAAAGCAATTTATGAAAAGACCATTCAATTTAGAGTTCATCCTCATATTTTTTTATAATTATATGTTCCCACATTAAATGTGTTATACTGTGCAAATCCCTGCATTTCTTGTATTCGAATCACTTCGTCGCGCTCATCAGCCACAAAAGTCTTCGAACTTTTCGCGTGTAGGTCCAGATGCTACGTGGACAATTTTACGTCTTCTTCTCAACGTCGCTGTGGATTATTCAAGTCCATTCTACTTGGAATCTTAAGATAGACGTGCTAGAGTGTTTCAACATGGATTAGTGAGAGTCGGCTTGTCCAGGAAAGTTTGCTGCTAATTTTCCAGATTCCAGGAATGACGGGGTTGACGAGCGCAGGAGGGGGTCGAACCAGGAAATTGAGTCAAGGGGTAAGATCTGATATGACTAGAAGTGGTGCGCAACGGGTAGTTGTGAACAAAGCGTACGACATTCAGTGATGGAATCTTCTCTTTACGGGTAGTAAGAGGTCTCACCCTTCGGTCATTTCGCTCTTGATCACTTGTAAGCGAAACCTGAGGACAGCGAAAATATTGTAGTAAGAACCCGGTCTATTATTGTGACACAACATAAGAAACATTCCTTATGGCATTTTGTGAACGTATTATTTTGACAGGTCAGCATGAAAAAAGGATATCTCTGAGTTTGCCAATCTAACCGTAGGATGGGAAGAAATATTCCACAGACGAGACAAAAATGTATTACCCACGGATAAACAATCATTAATTGGTGGAGATAAATTGTCCGCCAGAGAGGCAGTTACTAAGGTTTCTCGACAGTAGTGGTGAGACGGTAGAACCACTAGTACAAACGATTCTGCTGATTATTGAATAAATCCATAATGATAGCAAATTACCAATTGTGACGTAATACCGTCTATCGCTCCATGCTCCACCCGGTGGAAGAAAACGTTTGCCGTCAAACTTCACCGCATTTCGACAGTCAACGTCACGGCTTCGATAGTACATGCCAGAGCATCCTGCAATGCAAGGGACATAAATGGTGCCCTTGAATTCTCGAAAAAACAGCAGTCAATAAAAACTTTTTTCTGATTGAGCATCTTTAAAAGCATAATTTATAACAAAAAATGCATGTGACTATAATTTTTTTTAAATATCAATTTTCAATGTCTTTCTTCAATAAGCAGACACGAGGTTGTTATTACAGGATTTGTTAGGATACAATAGCTGACGTTTCGGCGGTTTCGCCTTCTTCAGAGCCATTTATTCGACAGTTATCGCCCATGTATTACTCTGTGCGGCTGCTACCCACCAACTAACTGAAATACTTACAACGAATAAACGGCTCTGAAGAAGACGAAACCGCCGAAACGTCAGCTATTGTATCCTAACAAATCCTGTAATATCGGTCATGGGTAACGGTTTTCATATAAGAAAACAACCATAAAGACAAAAAAAAAGGCACATGCAGTACCAGGGAATGCTGCTTGAAGCGACGTCCAGGGCAAGCCGTCATCGTCATCAAGTTCAACATGGACCGCCTCCACGAAAACTCTCAGGGATCGCACTAAACGTCCACAATTGAATTATAATTTGTGTGGAATTGAAAAGCACTGCATCTATCATTTTTTTAGTAATCATGTTTCATAGGGCTTGCATCCTCCTCCGGAAATAATAAACCAGTTTAAAAAAGCAGTAAACAATTCGGGAAGTTTCGCATATGAGTGTAGACCGTCGTTCAATGATATTTAGGAGGTTGGGAGAGTTAAGGCCGATAGAAAAACTTGAAAGCTTACTGTTTTTGAGGTTTACTATTTTTATTTTTCACCAAACTTATATTAAATTATAGATGTGGTTGTGGAAAGCACAATATTTGAGTTGACGTGCAATATACGCAGAATCGATCCCACTTCGGACCAACAAAGCCTACAACCCACCGATGTTGGCGGCATGATACCAGACCCTTCTCAAAAAAGCTCCATCTGACATAGAAAAAACCAGTTGCAGTTTTTTCTAAAGACATGGGAACAAACCAGCAGAGATACCCTAGTATTCCAAAATAAACGAGCTTAAAATTGAAAGACATTACCTAACACATAATGAACGGCGTTCTGTCTATACAAGCATACGAGGCAAGCCGAATGGGCGATATGAGTTATAGAGGTCATTTTCTTTCTGATGGCAAATTTCGGGACACAGAACCCATTTCCTATGCTTTTTAGCGATCAATAGACGATAGCGATTTGTAATCGATAGATAGCGTGGTCGACACAGATGTTGTGGAGGGCATCGTCGGAAAAAGCTTTGTTCTCTACTTGGAAATGTATAAAGAACATTTTCTTGAACGATCACATTGTGGCAGTATGTCAGGCAATTGACTTTTATTCAAAGTTTACTCACCATAATGAACCACAGTTATTATACGGAATGTGAAGCTGCAAGGCACCTAGAAACGTTGAAAGCAATGTGTTTGCATGGTGGACCATGGTGACGTGTAGTAAATACTACGGTCCATACCATTCATACAGAACAAAACCTTTTCTACAATTCAGCCATGTTCGTAACCCCATAAGTCATCTGGTTACCGAAAAATTATTGTTTATTATCAGAAAACTAGCAAGTCCACTAAGGCTTAAAATTGGACCCTATCCCTAGCGGCAAGGCTGCAAAACGACCCTATTCGCCAATGCGTTAACAAGGCAAAAATCCCAAGTAGCTAGAATAGACACAATATTTCATATCAACTCATACGAACAAATAATAAATAAACTGATATACACGATATGTCCCGAAAATACTATAATCGACAACGCCGTCTACGAAAATTTAATCAATGGAAATGAAAGCCTTTGTTCAGGTGGATAAACAGCCGCTGTGCCCTAGTCTACATGTCGCAAAAGTCCTCTCATATTGTTTAAAAGATATAAAGTTGTAAAAGACGAAGTCAAAGCGTTTTATATGGACTTGGAGAAGTTTTACAAAGAAGATCATACACTCTTTAACGTCATGATTGGATTTTAACACTAAGGCTGGACCCAAAGCAGCGTCACATAGGGACCCATGGATTGAAATGGAACGAGCTGGATGTGAGCTGCTGTCTGAGTTTATCATGGCGACCAAGACCATTAATGGAAACTCGTGATTCCAGAGGCCTCAAATCTCAACGCCGTTTGAATCACTCGACGATCAACGGGACTACAGGTGATGCAGATAGATTTTGCAGTAATGAATACATTGAACAAATGTTAGCTTGTAGTAATGGAATAGACTGAACAAATTCACATATTCTAAATAAGTATTTTAGTTAGAACCCTAAACCTTCTCAAGGAATTCTAAAATTTTGACTTTTGACGAATGAGGTCTGTGAGTTCTCTTTTTTCTAGCAACCTCCTTTTTTCTATTCTCATTTTAGACTACCCGACATCACATATTTGCGAACTATGGCACTTCTTTGATTCACTTCCTTGCATCCACTCTCCATAGAGGTCTTCAAATCTGCGTATAGGTTCGGGTGCCACTTGAGGATTTTGTCTTCTTCATGAGTTCCATTGATTCCTGATCGAGTAGATTCTTTCTAGAATACTGAGAAAACCAAACTGGGGTGTTCCTGGATGGTATGATACAATGAGGCTTCCAAAAAACTCTGTACCAATTCCCCGAATCCGTAGGGATGGGTCTCTTCACCGGTCTTGGGCCTGTCGAACCAAAGCCTTATTCAACCGCAGTGCTACTGTGTTTGTTGAATAGGAGAGTTTACAAAAAGCGCGTGTGTTTTATGACAGGCCCTCGCGGCTTTGGAAACTAAATATTTACAAACGCTGCATTCCTCATTGAAATTGTTGATGAATGTGCCGTAATATGCTATGTTAAGACATTTTTATCGAGAACGAAAGCATGGAAATCTGGTCATTTGAAGAGAGTGAATAGTTGATGATGGGTAGCCTGCGGAGAATTAGACCTGTGTAAAATTGGAATTTCGGGACTCACCAACTACGACCTACAAAGCAGAAACAACTCGACAAAAGATTTCCAGGTGAATAGAATTGGAAACGGTGGAGTAACCTGCATGAAGCTCATTCTATGATTTCTTTCACGCAACAAAACCTATGCCTTCTTAACGAGATCATTGTGTGAGAAGCTGGTGTTGCATGACAACAAACAGGCAAAGGTGGACAAAAGTGTCGCATCGAAATAGTTCCCGAAGTTCTGCCAGCTGCGTCACACGAAACTATGGATCGCGTTTGTTAGTAAGGGCGTGGAACACAAAACGAGGATTCGACTGACAGCCCTCTTTTCGCTTGAGGATCATAAAATACAAGTTTCTATTTATTTGCTAGCATTTATGCTATGAGCGTCTGATACACACCCATCGCAGGTTAGCATCCTTTGTTTCTTAAGAAGTCCACCAAAAATCCTGATTTTTAATCCACAACGACAATTAATAACTTTCCCTAGAAAAAAGTATAATATGCAAAGGATCCAAACAAATGATCATAACAGTGATAACCCGTTATCGCCACGATGTGAAGAGTGATGATTGCGTTTGATCTTAGAACGACTTCACTTGTTTGCAAGGAAATCGCCTAGATAGGAATCCGATACCGAACGAAGTGACCTTGTTCTTGCACGGGAATGCGCTAGAGAAGCAATACTTTCGTCTTCCTCTCGGAGAACTAAGTGTTTTCAAAACGTATTTTCATTCCTTTAAACTGCTTCAAATATTTGACTGATACCAACTTAGAAAGGGAATCTCGAGCAGATAAAAACTGCTATTCGTTGCTAAGAAAAGGTTCTCTAACAGCTTCACATCTTCAAAAGGCTTGATGGTCTCTATTGCTAGTTTTTTGTATACTCCTTTTATGAGCAGTCTTTGCCAAGAGGATCCAATTGCCAAAATCAAAGCAAATGCATCCTGACGAGCAAGCCAAGTCCAAGAAATTTAAGCTTTTGGCTGGATCTAAGCTAAACATCATATGGCATCAAATGCCACCCATTTGGATTTAAAGAGAACAAACTGAGCAAACGACTTCTTGATGGACGGAACAATGAAATCACCTGTGCAAAAGCGCATAAATCGCTCTTATTTGAAAATCCTCGTGGAGATCCTCTGATAAAGCACAAAAGTGTAAAGCCTACCAACTAGTATGCATGAAGACCAGAAACGAAGATTTATGATTGGTATGTCGACAACACTGCCGAAGAATTCACAAGTATCACCAAAAGTTTTCACTTGGAATGAAAATACTGCTGTAGAAAATCAGCAGGCGTTATAGAAAAAACAACGAAGAAGTGAGGAACTGGAATAAAAAAGCCACAAGTAACACAATCACCTTTGTCAATCTGGCTGCTCATAACGGGTTGCACACAATGTTGGGTGATGGCGAACTGGGCGTGGTTTTCGACAGACACAATCGATTCGAGGCCACCGGAAGCGACGGAAGCGATGGAAGCGACGGAAAAGCCGTATCGAAACGTCGGTGAACATCGTCGACGACAATGAACTGGGGCTGAACAGCTGACACTAAGGTTCATCTGTTTGCGCCTCGCTCACACGAAGTACGCCGACTTCGTCGGAAGTGTTGAACGCAATAGCAGCAATGCTCGGCCGATAGTAATCTATGACGATCGCAGAAAGAGATTCACCTGCACTATGCACATTCTACCACGTTTCCCTCAGTGAATCCCATAGTCATGGATTGTCGAACTATGCTGGGCGGGTGTGGAATAACTTCAAGTTGAGTGCTTTTAACACACAGACGGCGGCGTGGCACTATGTCATACCCCACTTCTTTTGTGTTCTGCAGAGATTTTTTACCGCACTTTTGTGTTCTCTGGATGGAATTTCAAATTTGTATCCAATATTAGGAATTGTTTTTAGAATGTTGTTTTTTACAACTGCGGCGAGACTACTGCTTTTGAAGAGAGTGTGAATCGTAGACAGTATGGTCAGCAAAGAGGAGCACAAATGCCTATGCTTAAGCACTGAGATTCGACGCTTTGGTAGGGGTATCCGCTGTGATAAGGTGATTATGAGGTCATGGAGGAGTCTTTTTCAGAGTGGCATGGTGTTTAGGGTAATGCGTTCATCAATGGGGTCCAATCGCTTATCTCGTGCAGTTTGCAAGTTACGATATGCTTATATGTGGTGAACACATGACTTACATCATATAACCTAGTAATAATAGCTAATAGCGATAGCAGTAATAATATTTTTCAATTCTTACCAAAAATCGAAATCAAAGGAGGCTATTCAAAAATCACTCTTACGTACCCGAAAGCAGTTACAATATTGATTTAGAACTTCTTGCTCACAACTAATAATCTTCACATAGAAGATCGTACTGGTGATATACAAATTGCACTCCTTATACTGAAGCATTTTAAACAATTGTGTTCCATACGAGGAGAGGAATAGCACTTTGGTTAGAGATGTACTTCATCAGGAAGAAGATGCTGGTTTAATTCCCTACTCGACCTTCTCTTCCAATCCACATGGTAGTGTCTCAGCTCGGGTATTTCCGAAATTGTAAGGAAAATCGACTATATCAAGCAACCTATAACATTGATAAAGAAGCCGAAATCCTCAAGCAGCAGACGAAACAACACGCAAAATGCGCGAAGACCTTTGTGGACGACAGATGTGAGAAAGGTGAAGAATGAACGATGCGCAGGGGTCTTCATAGTAGAGCTGATGACGGGGTATGTAGATTAAAAGAAATGCGATAAAATAACTTCCATGCAACGACTGCATTAATGTTTATCCTTTTTAGCACGTTTAGGAGCGTATTTCTGATAGTGCTGTTCTGTAGCAGCTTTGTAATAACCTACACATTGTCTCCGTTTTATCGAGACCTTGGTGCTACTTTCTTCAATGAGCTGGCTGTGAAGTAGACGACATCAGTCTCATTTCCAGTATGATTCAGGTGGCTGTCTATTTTAAGCCATCTTGCTTTATTTTCTGTCCGCACTCATTATATATCCTCCACGCTTTCACTAGGCACGTCTGGGTGATCAGGGAGGACAAGAGCTGTATTTATCTAACGTGTGGATGGAAGAAGATGTGTCCAAGCTATGAAGAAGCAGAAATACACCTACTCCTTGCAATGTCTTCTAACGTGTGCCTCCATTTGATTACATTTGTCTACGAAAAACTTTTCCTGTTGGTTGATTCCAGTCAACTATGGTTTCGATAATTCAGAAAAAGAAGACGAGTGGTGAACCATTAACAACATAATACCGTCCTTCTTCCTGTTTTTCCAGTGTAGCATTATTACCCGCTCTAGTTCTGTTACCCTACCAACGACCCACTCAGTTTCGTTTACGACCAGCTGCAAGGTGCCAGTACCATATCAGCAATCACACGTTAACGGGAAAGAACTGAGTGAAAATCGGCATTAAACGCAGTTAAGCTGAAGCCGTAGTCGAAATCGTAGTGTTGACTTCTTCGTTTACTTCTTATTATTACTTTTTTTCGTTGTCGTATTTTTTCATTCTCGTTAGTGGATGATTGCTGATGGCACCGTTAGGTAGAAAACTGGATGTTCAGTGGTGCAATGGAAAACACGTCGCACCCTGAAAGAGTAGCCGCGGGTTTGGAGCTGTCGTGGGTGTCGAGTCTTGCAAAGTGACTGCCCTTACTGAGGACTGTGGGGGAGAATCTACTCGACGGGATTCCACGTCGTCCATCGATAAAACCGACAATCCACAAGTAGCAGCCGAATTCACACGCAAATCCGAAGACATTCGTGAGTGCTGGATGCCAGGGAACGAAATGAGTGGAAAAAATACTGGAATCGGCACTATGCTATGTCGGTTCGTGTGAAATAACGAGGTAACAATAAAGATGAAACAGTATATTTGTAGGAAAAGTGGGGCTAGAATACAGCAGTGATGGCAATGGAATGGGTATGCCCAATTGCTACTAAATTTTAGTAACTTTGTGGAAACGTAGCATATTGCACAATTCATTGTAGGCTAATGAAATGGTGTTCATCAGTATGAAAAAATCTGCAAACTCGTGGCATTCGTCTTTTAACTTTTTCTTCTACTCTCTTAACGCTTTTTTCAGCTTCTTTAAAGATTTACTCCGTTTAAAACATGAGCAATGTACTTTATTATTAGGCAAGTCGTAGTCTTGATTTTTATATCTATATCCATGAAACGCAGAGGCACCGAATGGAATAATGCGGCTTATCAACGAACTATACACCGCGACAAGCAGTCCAGTGCCGCCGCTTCAATAACCAGGTGGTGTTCGAGGTTGAGGACAGTGGTCACACGTACCTTCGTCGCCTAAAATAAATGTTACTAAGCTGTTTAATAAAATTTTAGAATGTATTCATGATATGTTTGTTATACGCCAACGAACCCGCTGATCCCAATGGTCCAGGAGGTCCTTGTGGTCCTGGTCCACCTCTCGGTCCAGGTCGTCCCATATCTCCAGAAGGTCCTTGAAGTCCGCCTTCGGTTATGCCCTCTACTCCCCGTACTCCTCTAGGTCCTGGGAGCCCTTTCGAGCCTGGAGGTCCTGCTGGTCCTGCTGGACCGTTTACCTGAATAACGCGACCTGGCTGCCCTTGCACTCCTGGTAATCCAGGCTCACCCACTCCTCCTGGTGGCCCGGGAGGTCCGATCAGTCCCATCATGCCAGGTTTCCCGTCGGATGCTCGTTCCATGGACTTTCCTTTAGGACCAGGAGGACCCCTTGGCCCTTGCATCCCGACTGCTCCTTCTTTTCCTTGTGGGCACACTAAGCATGGCTCTGCTGGTGGCAGAGCTGATGAAAGCACGGACCCTACTTTTCCGGGATTGCCTGGTACTCCAAGGTGACCATCGTTTCCTGCCTGTCCGTCGTCTCCGGGTGGCCCAGGAGGTCCGGCAGGTCCTAAAGCAAACTACTACAATGTCGTGAACCTATTTCCTGAACATTTAAAGAGTTGATAACTGGTATGAGTTTTTTTGTGGTGGCTGAAAATTTAAGTCAGTGATATTTTGCATGTTCAAAACTCAGCCAGCGTAATTCATTGCTTTCTTGATGAGTAAACAAAAGTTTTTGTTGCAGAATTTCTATTATTAGAGCAACAGACAGTATATTTCTCTAAGACTCTCGCGCAGGAGATGTCACACCAAAACTTGAAAAACCTAGGTCATTGTGCAAATCAAATTTGCTTTAACTTTTTAAACTTTTTTGCTTTTTAAATTTACCTCAAAAATCTCTTGGAAGGTATAGAGATCGAAAGCACCTATAGAACCAAAAGGTCAAAGCTCTTCGCGTTGATCAATCACTGAGGGATGCGCCATGCATTCGACTTCATTGAGTATCGTTGAATGTGAATGAATGCACGTATGTCCTTTACGATGACTCACGGTGGCCTACCGATGTATCGAGCCAGTACTGCTACCGTCCCAAACAAGTGTGGTACCAATTCGCTGACCCCGGTGGGATGGAATGCTTGGTGGGTCATGGTGCAGGGACCGATCCCATGTGTGCGTCGCAGGGCACCTCCGACCCCTGCGCTACATGGGCCAGCTAAAACCAAAGCACCGGAAAGCACCTATACAATCTATTAACTACGAAATTTTATTTCTTTTTTTGAGCGATTTCAATCTGTAGCCCTTTGCCAAAATTCCTTAAAATTTTTGATTCCATGTTTTCATAGAACTCCTAGTTACCCAGAGAAATTTGCTATTAAGTTAGCTCAAACTTCTTTTTGTTTAACGTTAATGGGATGACAAACATTCAGTAAACCACTGATTGACAATCTTAAAAAGAATGATTAGGGTCAAATGTAGAAATGGTAGTGGTGTTTGTGCATGGCGAGCGGCTCCAATGCAAAACAAAGCTGTGGATCTACCTTGCACCGACCCACGGCCTCCTGTCTTTGCGGGCTTGAGAAATTGATACCAGACTTGTGCTTACTTCCTCCAATCCACTAAGAACGCCCTAGCGGCCGCAATAGGTTCGAAGAGCTTCGTGGGTGATGGATGAAAGGAAAACGAATGAATGAAGTGCTGAGATGAGCAGATGCAATCTCGGTTCGTATTAAAAAATAAGGATGCTCTTCTTCAACTGTCGACCTCAACGTAGCGTGAGAATGTACCCAAAATTATCAGAAAATGGGTAGCACTGAATTCACCTTTCACATGCCTAAGCTTAAAAGGTCGACATTTTTAACACGAAGTGCGACCTCCAATGAACGAATGCCAGAAATGTACGCAGTTCCGAAAGGAATCTATTGCTGTTGCATACTGGCAAACCATCCACAAATCCGCATTTTTATTTTAAAATCTCAAAAAAAGAAAAACCTTGTCTTACTAACTAGATAATCCGGAAAGCGAAAATATTGCTGGAACTACTAATCCAAATATAAAAATAAATATAACAAGAAGTTTTCAACCACACCTTGTTGACAAGGACAGCATGTTAGTCCCAACTCAACAGTTTGAACGTGCTTAGTTACGCTTTCTTCAGTACGGCCAACTACGTATTGACCTCCACCACCTACTCCCCCATCGGGAACAAACTGTCCAAAGAGCCAAGTGCCAGATGCTTCTCTTTTCGAACGCGAAACGCCGGCTTTGTGTAGCACCTGCATCTCCACCCATATATCCCGAGCTCGAGTCTAAATTAGTGCTGCTGAAACATCTTTAAGATTTGTTTCGCTTAATCTCGTGTTTTTCTTTCTGAACTCAGAATTTCTATTCAATTGCGTTGTGGATAAGTCACAATCTACAGGCTTTCCATACGGACTTCATTGAACATTTTCGGACAATCTCTATCAATGCTGATGCTTCCTAGACATGAACTGTTTAGCAACTCTATAAATTTCTTATATAACTTAAAGTTGGAAAATATAAGAAAATATTAGTTGAGCTCGCTCCTTTTCATGGTTGATCATCTACTCGGAATTTACTGTGAGGGAATAACTTTTGCAGAAAGGCAATAAAAATGATGTTTTTCTGCGCTCGTTGGTTTGTAATGCTTGAGTTCGATGGTATCGTCGTAATAGATAAATGGCATGAGAAAAAACGAACCAATTTTTAAAAACTTAGTCACCTTGCAATACTCAGTTTCAACGATGAGGTGGCTCTGGAAGGACTGAACATAGCTGTACAGCATGGGCAACGTGACAACACTTGCAATAACGGCGACAGTGGACATGACAACGGCGAAGAAGGCGACACGCCGCATCTGGCGCTGTTCATCTGTCTCCTTGTGGTCCATCGTGCAGACGAATGACGGTTCCACATCCTTAGAAACGATCATTTTTATACACAATGGGCGGTCGCCGCATGTGAGATCGAGAATAACTGGTATTAACAGCCTTACGGGCACCGCCCACACAATACCCCGGAAAGCAGGAAGAGTAGCGTCGATATCCGCTGTTATACGAGAGAAAGTAGAAAAAGACGTGGATATCGAGCCGCAATGTTTCACTTCACCTTATCGCTCATCAATAACGGCATCATTCATTTCACATCTTTATGTTTCTACGGTTTCTTGTGTTTACTGCAATCCGTAGCTGTTTTGAAATGTGGGACAGGGCGAATAGGAGCTAACATATACTAGATAAATGGCCAGTTTCTTGTGAGTTTAAACGAAATTTACAATTGTAAAAAGTCGAACCATTTTTAGTAGTAAATTCATCTTCATTAACTCCTGCTTTCTCAAATTGTGGATATCGAAAGGGTGAATAACTATGGACTTCGTTTCACTTCCGTTAAAATGCTGTGCTAACAATGTCGAGATTAACTGCAATGATGCGAAGATATTTGCAAAACTTGGACCTCATGCCAGATTGCCCTACCGGCGTCTATCCTAAAAAAAGAGTAGGCGGTAAATGAAAAGTTAAACATTGTTATTTCGGCTTCCGCCTCAGCGTAACTAGGTTCATTGCCGATTTGTTCTCTCCAAGACACTCTCGTTGACGGGTGATTGCTGATAACATCATTAGGTAAAAGGCTGGCCGAGAGAAGTGCAAATTAAGGACCTCAGTGGTGCAATTGCATTAGGTAACACGTGAACTGCCAAAGAGTAATCGCATGTTCGTCTTTGAACTGGCGTTCAAGTTTTGCAAATATCTCAGCATCATTGTGGTCGTTCTTCATGTGATACCTCTCCGTGAAAAAATTACTAGCAGTAAATAGAAAGTCAGGAGCTGTAATTTATAGATTTTTTTTCTATTTCAGTGGTGATCTTAAATGGATGTTGTGTGGGGTAGAGTGGAATTTTTGCACCAAATTTATGGAATAAGATGCAAAGTCCTCAAAAAAATGACTCTAGTGGAAATGAATTAGGAGAAAATTAGCTTCCTGTTATTGGTTTAAAGACTTTCAGTATTCAATTTTTTGGAAGAGTTCTTTCACAACTACTTAAAAACTAGAGTTTCAATTAATACAGATCGAGTTACTAAAAGTAGAACCTTCTCCTGTTGAGAACTGTTGTATGAACTACTAATCAAGTGCTAAGTTTATTGGGACTACAATCCCACAGTAATTTTGAACTTATACTTTTTTGAGGGAAAAATACAAAAATCAAAGATTATTTCGTTGCACCACTAGGAAACAGTTACGAAACAGTTTTATTGTTTGCTCTTTGTTCTTTATCTTCAGTGTAAGGCGTCTTTAGTAATATTACAAAAATTTTTGGGAATTTAGACCTCCGGACAAGTGACACCTTGAGGCGTTACAACATGGATGAACTATTCTCTTCCAACTGTTCAACCCTGTGACATTTCGTGTCCATGTCTAAATTTCGTATATCCTCGTTTCAAAAATAACTAAAGCATATTTTCATAAGTCTTTTAGCATCGTCATATCAAATAATAAACGGTGACACCAGCACGCAGCTTTAACTCAAGGAAACTTTTGTAGGTGACACTGAAATGACAATATTTAAAAGTAGGGAACGGTTATTGCAAGATTTATTGCACATTACCAAATAAACTAAATACTGTTGAGTGCTTACTTTTCCTTGGCTTCATTTTAATACCCAGGAGGAGTACGAGGAGTGGGACAGTGGACACAGTCTCCTTCGGGTCCTTTCGCTCCGAGTGGTCCTTGGCCTCCAGGTTCTCCTTTGCGCCCAGGTCGTCCCTTCTTTCCCTGATCTCCTGGTGGTCCTTGTGGTCCAGGGATGACAGATCCGGTACGGCCTTTCGGCCCACGCTCTCCTTTTCGGCCTTGTGGCCCTGGAGGTCCGGGTGGTCCAGGTGGCCCATTGACATTGATGACGCGACCATCCTCTCCTTTCTTTCCTTTAGGTCCTTGTATTCCGGGTTCTCCACCAGGTCCAGTAGGTCCAACCATTCCAGGTTCTCCGCGGCGACCATCAACTCCAGATAGACCAGGTGAACCACGAGGTCCCTGAGGTCCTTTCGCACCAGCGTTGCCTGGAGGTCCAGGTGGTCCTGGTGGACAAATTATGCAGGGCTCTGATTGAAGTCCATCAGATGGTTCAATACCACCGTCACGTCCAGCCTTTCCATCGTTACCCTGGTCTCCATCACGACCGTCTTTGCCGTCATCGCCAGGTGGTCCAGGAGGTCCAACAGGTCCTTCAAGGAAAGTATAAAAGCACTCGACTATAAATGAGAGCTTGAAACTGGAAGTTAATCACCTTGTTGGCAAGTACAGCATTGAGGATCGGGCTCCGGATTAACAACAGGTCCATAACCACTGCTCGGTGGAGGAGCTGGAGCATAGCCGGCCTAATAATTTATCGTATTAAAATCTTCAAAGTGTTGCCCAAGTAAGATGAGCGTACTACACTAGCCTCAGGTGCACCATATTCAGCTCCACCACCTGCTCCACCGTCGGGCACCCACTGTCCGAAAAGCCACCCTCTTTTAGCGCGTCCTTTCGGTGCCATTTTGTACATGCTGACGAGCATATCACGAGAGCGCATCTGTAAGTAAATCTGTTTCTTGAATCTTGTATAATCTTGTATTCAAACAGTAATTAGGCTATGATTTTATTTCTGACAAACAACTAATTTGTGTTGATAAAACACGAATTAGCCAGACCGCTAATATATTATAGCACACACCAATCACTAGTCTGCTGTTATAGAGCATAAATAGGAAAGGCTTTGGGAACCTACACGGCAGAAGTCCATTTCTGCATTGACCTGGCTCTGAAGAGTTTGGACGTAACTGTAAAGCATCGGAGTGGTGATCGCGGAGGCAATCACTGCAGCCGTCGACACCGTGACGGCGACGAAAGCGATCGAACGCATGCTGAACGATGGATTCGACAAGAATTGACGGCCATCCAAGCTGGCTTCGGATTAAGAGCAAAGTGCTGCGCATGATAGTTTTACATACGTAAATAGAAACATTAATATGTACAAAGTAAGCCTAAAACCTTAGTTCGACTCATTTTTATCTAAGAGATCTGCCAACGAAACTGGTCCAAAATTTCACGGGAAAATGAGGTCGTGTGGGCTGTCATACTTTTCTACTGATTGTCATCGTAGTTCCAATCAGTCAAGAAGTTAATTTGCAGACTGTAGAAATAATTTCCACACACTATTCTTTCAGTACGAGTTTGTTTCTACAAAAAGTAGCTTTTCGGGATGATGCAACTCGAATTTGAACTTCCACAAAACATTGCCGTCGACCAAGCAGAGCCACTTCTTCATAGATATAAGTCTTCGAAATAGAGATGAAGCACGATTGCTAATGAATCTCTAAGAATGCATATCCTATCCGAAAGAAACTTACCGCTGGTTGTCCTCCTTGTCGTCCATGGCAAAGCAGGATGCCGACTGATGTCTGTTGGGTGCTTATATGCGATCGCATGTGACAATGTCCTTGGGATCTAGGTCGGGATCGGTTCCATCACCTTCTAAACGACGATAGCGGAGAGATATGAATATGCAAATGCGCCGAGAACGGGTTGCAGCACGTTAATAAGAGAGCAATTCAGTGTAAGAGAAAATGGTCTTTGTCTATCATAATGACAAGCTTTTGACCACTACAACCCTACATAAAAAAAGAGCGAAAAAAGGTAGAAGCTCCAAAACGAAATAATCGTTTCATATAACCTCCAGCTATTTTAAGCAAGATTACCTTGCGGTTCGACTACTTCCTTTATCTACTGAATTATTGTTATAATTACTCCGACACCGCCAATTCGGAAGTAATGTAAGCTTCACTATTGACAAGGCAGATTCCTTCCAGATTGTGTGCCTTTCCTCCAACTAATCGTGGTAAAAATTAATCTTTCTAAAATTCTTCTCGAATAACTTTTCAGTTTCAGCCAGTTAACATTCTGTGGAACACAAACCACTGGGAGACTTCAGCAGAACAATCCACTTAATTTCATGACCGCTCAATCCACACTTTTCCACTACGTTCACTGAGATCTCATGACGGTATATCATCGAATAAAGATTGTACCGCTACACCATGCGAGCATTCTGATTCTGATATCAATTTCAAGAAGCCGATGGCTCATTGTTGAGAAACTTTCTGTCGCATTATGTTAAAGCAGTGTTGAATGACATTTCCAAATAGAAGCTTCAAATATCAACGTTGAAACTTTCTGAAAGCCAACAACTTTCTGCGTACAGACGAAACATGACAAACGTTTTTTTTGGTTGGATCGATCTCATTAAGGTCCTTTAGCAAATTTGAATCTGTGTTCGAGATCCATCGATGTGTTGACTGAGGATATTTGTCTCGACTGCGCAAGAACTTACGATCTTAAGACGACAAAGGAGTTAGTATTTCGTCATTTACAAGCATCACTTTAGTACCAAATACTTTTGCGCTCTATATATCACTAATGCGAAGGTGGCACCTCATTTAAATGCGTTACATGTTCTTTTGCTATAATGTTGTCTCAGGATTTTAGATAAACAAAAACGCCCTCACAACTCTACTACCTTCCAGTGTAGTTCAAATCTATGGGAGGAACTGCTTTTTTGCCTACATACACCAATAACATTTGCTTCCATTATGTGTAGGTCCATTTCAACGAATTCTTCCAACTAAGAAATAGCGGAGGATTCACAATCCTGATGATTGTCCAGCTTGAAGCCTTCTCTAAGGAAAAATTTGAAATCTACTGCACCATCCATTCTTTCTCCTTCCCTTAGTTCATTGATATTTACTGTCATTTGCGCTGCGCTTTGTTCCACTTTGTTTTAGTTTGAACTGTAGAAAAAATTGTTGTAAGAGCACATTTATTCACCTTCTATTTAATTGTTTGAACTTAAAGAAGAAGAACAATGCACAGATGAAAGCGTCTTCTTTTCCTCAAGATTTTAAAGAGTTGGTAGAACACATAAAAATCAATTCCTCAGATAAGATACAGCGTGAAACATTTTTTTAAATGTACAAGCCCTAGGTGCCATTTATAGAGGGCATCAGCCACCAAAGTCACCATGCTAAGGAATTTTGTCATTCCCAGCGGGAACCCTATCCACGATTTAATCTATGCAAGGGTTCTCCAATCACTTACATTTGCGACATGCCAAATTTCCTCCCATCCACAATATCCCGCTTGATCTTGCAGTGAGGACCTAAGAGCGAATGGATTCCTCGTTAAAACGTGTCATTCAAGCAACGTAAATAGAATCTAAGAAAATCCACAGATCTCTCCACCGCGACAAAGATCTCGAGTTGGTGTAAAGAGGCACGTGGCGCGTTCCTAGACAACAAGCGGGTGTTCTAAAAGGCACGCGGATTTGGGGGACAGCAACATGGATTTGAATAAAGCCGAATAAATGGAAAATACATGAGAAGCGGTATGGGATCGAATCCAATAAACGAACTTCACTTCTACTTTACCAGTGGTTATTAAGTTACTAGTAGTTACCCACTCACCAAGCAAAATAAAAGCAGTGGGCCGTGTACGAAAGCTGTTGTGCTTTTTGTATCTCTTAATCGGGTAGATCCCAATGGGTACTTTGTGGTATCTCATGACAACGGCACTATCGATGTCGGCGTAATTCGTTGATTAATAAGACTATGAAATTTGATAAAAATTTGATAAAGGAAAATTATCAAAGGGAACCTAACATGCGCAATATTCCCTCCTTGTCGTAGAAATTGTCGTAGAATGTTATCGTAGAATGCACTTTGTATTCCTCCAATTCATGTGCATCACATTACAATAGAAGGTATAGTCAGATGAAAAAAAAGTGATGATGGGCTTTGATATAATCTCAGAGAATGGTGGTGTAGTAAACGATTCAGGCAACAGCTTGACAAACGCACCCACTGCGTAGATCGTGGGGACTGGCAAAACAACAATATGACAAGCGAGCCGGTAGTGGAATTCTTGCACGGAGTTCACAGACGAGACATAATAACGATGTTTTCTCCGTCTTGCCAAACAAACCATTGTGGATGTCACTTTTGAGGGAGACAACACTTGAGTAGTACAGGCCGCTGAAAGTTTGCTTCAAGGCCATTAGTGTGCGCAATTGATATGTATTCGTTTCTTCTCTATCATTTCGAAAGTCCGGGAAATTCTCCAATTTCGCCGAATTTCCCGCTCTTCACTATGCAGGATTTGCGCTCGAGAGATAATTCTCAACGACCGCGCATTGGGCGATAAGGCGATCAGAGTTGACACCAGTTGTTGATAATCAATGCTCGATATCATCCACAGGAATGGAGTGAACGAATGGAGCGTAAGATGCATTAGTAACACCCTCATGTCAATACTGAATGCAGCAATAGAATTACTGCGAAAATATCGAGATATACGTTCCGAAGACGCTCCTTCTGACCTGACAGCTTCTGTAGTCTGTGCAAAAGCAGTTCTCTTTCAGTATCTCTGTTCCTTCTATTTCTCTTCGAACAGGAATGTGTAAAGTTGGTATCTTGTAATTTTTATGGCTTAATAAATGTCTCCTTATATGAGAGTGAGCTGTTGTGGCAATGTTTGCTCCTCAACGCGTAAACGTTATCGAATCACTAATTTTCAGCATCAGATAAGCAGCTAGGTGCTGGAAAAATATGAACAGACCTTGTTGTTATAACCTGAAAAGAAGAAAGTTTTTTGGAGTTTTCAATGTACGCATATAGCTACAACAACAAAATAGTTTGATGATGAAGCTGATCCTTGGTCGAAAGCACTGCTCAACCAGGAATTTGGTCGGAGTAATCCGTAGCGATAAGGCCGAAAGATGATAATAACTAACATCATTTAATAATTCACTGGAAGCCATCACATTATCAATTTTGAAAAACTGTGTAGATCCAGATCGATAAGGATCATTAGAACAAGGAAGCGGCAATGGCTCTATTACAAATGCCTTCCGTGACGAAAGTATAAACAAGATTTGCCTCAAGTCTTCCTTCTCCAGAATGATAAGACCTATGATAAGAAAATAGATGAAATCGGAAGAGTACCTTTATCAAATTAAAACTTGCTAAATTTTATTCTTTCCTCACTTACCAATTTTAAAAAAAATTTAAAAAACTCGTTCATAGAGATGCAGAGCGAGGGCCCCAATTATGCAGTGGGTAACAAGAGAAACGCGGGAAGAGTAGTTGTGAGTTTGAATCTGGTGTTCGGTCTGCATTTCGCTCATGTCGAATCATCATTGTTTTCGTATTACAGGTTTATTAATGAAAAATAACAACTCGAAGTAATTAGATGCAATAGAAAATGAGTCGGTCATCTCCTGAACCAATTGGTGTCGATGAACATTTCACTGGTGCTTCTTATTTCGATAATTGTCTTTCACTACTTAATCATTCTAAATTGACATCATGTTTCTTAGCCCATTTCCGTATAGTTGATGTGACGAAATCCGCTTGAGGATGGTTCCCACGATCCAGCAACTGCAGAACCTCCGACATTTGCTCACTTAAAAACCAATAGTACGTGAAGAAATGAAAATATGATTTGATAGTGTTGTAGACCACAAAATGAAGCACAAATACTTTAAAATATACGATGAAGTCATAAACGGAATTTAGAAGAGAAACTAAATACTTCTGATAATGAGTATTTGAAGAAAAAAAGCACGTGTGCAACAGTTATTAACGAATGCTTAATGTTTGACCGACAAAATCAGTGCGGCTATGTGGCATACGACCTAAACGCTTCAAAAGGCACTTCATGAATAGGAACCAGTTTGGGCTAAGCGGCTCATAAGGTGCTTAATGAGTAGGGGCAGTTTTTTAGTCTCTCAAAGCCTTTCTTGGGTAGGAAACGAGAGTAAGGGAAAATTCCTCTCGTGAAACTCACTTTGATGCTCTTCCTTGAACAAGCATCTTAAACAGACCGCAGGCGGCACCACGTTTTCCTTGCCAATTTTCAGGTGATGGGTCGATTTTCTCGAGGCCATCGAAAGCCCTAGCTGCATAGTAGAATTCTCCAACCTAGCACATTTATTTCACTATTAGGTCGTTCAAACCAGAAATCTGCTCAATCATATTACCGTATAGCAATCCGTGGCGATGATCCTCAGGATGTTGAATGATTCCTTCGGATCGACTGATCTCGTGTACATATCCCATGCCATTTGGGGTTTATGGTTCATGATAACTATAAAAAATCAAATACCATGTTCTTTTACACCAATTAACCTCCAATACATTGTTGGGAATCGCGATTATCCATATTCTTCCTATAAATTGAAGATTTGACTTTTTACTTTCGTGCCGTAAGGAAGTTTTACAGCAAATCCAAGTAAAAGTTGTTCAGTACCTATGTAAACGGAATGAGGAGCAGCTTTATCAATTAACTATCACGTTAAATCAAAAATAAAGATTAACGCTTTGATTTCAATGGAAGTCACAATTCCCTTGATGCTGAAAACCGTCGGCGATTACTTATGAAAGCCGCGCTTCGCACTGTGCTCTTCATTTTCCAATGGAGTTCTAGGCTTGAATATGCTTTTATACTAGTATATTGTAGCGTAAAACTTGGTATGCGTGCAATTCAGTACTTTTTCCCGTTCAAAAACTAAAAATGGGTTAATAATGGTGAAAATCCCTTCCGTCAACTGATAACGCTTGAATAAAAATGAATTATTCCAAAAGAATATACAGCACAAGTTTTCGTCAGCATGTACTTGAAGGTTGGTTTGTCTTTATCTCGTCCTGCAATGGCGAGAAAATGTTCCTCAGCTTCCTTCCACATGCCGCATTGCATTTCGGCTTGAGCGATATTGAACGAGAAGACGTCGTCGTTGTGATGATACGCCCAAAAAGTGAAGTTCAAAACCAACGAATCAAAGAAAGAAAACCATTTTATAGAAAAATCGCGAGAAAAGAGAACCTGAATCGAATTCAAATACACTAATGCATCATCATATTGGCCGCTGAGAAAGAGAGAACATGCCATGCTCTGACGACCAGGAATCGTATCTATAAACAATAATTTTGACATACATTAATGTTTGTTTAAAGCGTGCGTGCCGCAGTTGTCGGAGGCGCCCTGCAACACACACATGTAATCGTCCCCCCGCGTCCAAGAGTCGGTAGATCAGTGCCAGAATTGTCAGAGAGTGGCTCAATACATCGTTATGCCCGGCTCAATACATCGTTATGCCACAGCGAGTCATTGCAAAGGCCAAATATGCATTCAATCACCTCCAAACGATGCTTAATGAAGTAGAATGCATGGCGCATCCCTCAGGGATTGATCAACGCCGAGAGCTGCATCCTTTTTATTTTTAATGCTCACTTAGATCTGCACAGCTAAGAAAAGCAATTAAGGTCACTCTCAACGTAGGTAATAACATGGACTTTACATTTAGACTGTGATTTGCTGAGATTTTTTTTGGTTTTCTCTATAAATTCAGCTATATTCTATGCTCACCAGTGTCGTAAGGCGATTCTCCAACCATCTTGAAAAACTGCTCGGCCGTCTTAAGATGATCCTTCTAAAGAAAACAGGAATGCGGTTTAGCTCCCACTGTAAGAAATGATACGAATTGAGTGAATCGCTGTGCAGTCTTCTCACCGATTCCTTCATTTGTCCCCAAAAGGCAAACGTAACGGCTTTGACCAGAAATTCTGTGGTAGTCTGAGGTTCAAGATCAGTACAATGAGCTATAGCACTCTCGATATCCTCTGAATAATTGTTAAAACAATGTTTACTTTTTATTTTCTGCCTTCTGTAATTTTTATGGCAGGGTATTAAGCGAAATACAACCACAATATTGCTGAGATATTTGCAAAACTCCGGACCGCAAGTGTCTGCAGTGGGGAACGAACGCGCTATTCCTTTTCTAGGGAGTAACGTGTTCACCACCACACCATGCAGGTCCTTCGTTTCGCCTGTCTCTCAGCTAGTTCTATCGATCAGTGCCGTCAGCAATCACTTGCCAGCGGGTTTGATCCGGAGAGCCCACATCGGCATTAAACCCAGTTTATTGTAAAGACATTGTAAACTGTAAAGACAAATCTTCATGGAAGTTAGAAATGAAGTCCAAAAATGGAGACCTAGAGCTGTATAAAATTTGATAAATTTCCATATCAGAAGTGGCTGCCATTCTTCACAGAAAAACCTCTTGAAAATGATTCCTACAAATGGCTTTTGGGAGAAAATTTAGTGGTGTTCCTGACTTTCCTCCCAACGGTTTACCGCTTCATCGTGGCTGGGAGGTGTTCCTGGATGTTGGGCTGCGATTTACAGCAAAGGATTCACCCTCCAACAGGCTCCTTCAAGCTGAGAAGGAGTCCAACGTTTCTATCAAGAAGCCCTGCTAAGAGTAGACCAATACCAGGATTAACCACTGTTCTGGTAACGAACTAGTCTCATAGTGGCAAATCTCCCTCTGATCCACAAGGGCGGCTACTGTCTGTGGTGGCGATGACTTGGGGGCGGGCTTTGGCTAGGTTGACCTTGAGACTCCAGGCAACCACAAGAGCTACACCATCAAATTTCAGAAAAAGTGGAAATTATGTTGGGGTCCGCACAGCCAGTGATGACGGGCCATCCGAGTAATAAAGTAAATAGGTAATCATTGTGAAATGCACTAACCTCTTTTCAGATGGTACAAAATTAGATTGATCCTCGCCTCTGGTAGCGTATCCATCAAACCAGGGAACACCTGTAGTGCTCCATCACCATCATTAAACACCACCTGAACAAAATGATCTTGAGCTAATCTTTTTGTAATTTTATGAAAACGTTGTCCTCTTCGAAAAACGCGTAAAACAAATGGCACTTTCAGTTTTAACATAAACAAAAAACTGAGCAAAGTGGTTGGAAAGAAATGGATTTACTTGATTATGACGAAGTAGCTCCTTGGCAGCGGGATAGAGACTCACTCGCTGAAGGGAGTCGACCTCAGGCTAAAACATGTGACGAGTTCTTTGACTCATTTTATTAAACCTTTCAATCCTTAGTTGAACTCGAAATGCACGAAGCAGCGAAGAGAAGGCAATTACCAAAGCAGCTTTTCCATTATAAGTCTTGAAAGTGATGCAGGCTTTCAAATTTAAAGCAGCTGGGCTGCTTGGGAACGATCGAAGGTACACACTCAAAACTTCCTAAAATGGTCAGTTATATGTAGTGTGAAAAAACTAGAATGAAATAGCCGGGTTAATTCATCCATGGAAGTCCAGTCTTAAACACAGAAAATAATGAGTAGTTAGGTCGTGTACCTGAGAGGAATGTCAATAAACTAAAGAGGAGGAGTTCAAAACCAAAGATTCTATAACATAAAAAGTTATTAAAGAGGGTAGAATGGCGAAAGCAAAAATTGGACGCTTGGGAAGTTTCTCTATCATAGCTTAAATCAATATTAAATGACCTTATTGAATAAATATTTCTTCACAGCAAAAGAAGATGTGTACATTTCCTCACACCAAAGGATCTGTTAATATCCTCTATTCCGTAGAGCAGATATGCTGCACAAACTACTCATATACTAGTAAAATATTTGTCTAGCGATCGTGAACGAATGAAAACAACTTCACCAATAAAGCGCAGTTTTCTTAGATTGCTACCTGTGCCACATCGTAGTAGTCCATTTTGTAGTAGCACATAGCCATATAAACGTTCAGTGCAATCATATTCCTGAAGAAAACATCTACTCTCTACATCGATGAATTGAAGAGCTTCCAGTTTTATGAAGATATGGAATTTTCTTGTCACATCATCTAATATGTGCTCCAGCAGTGTGATGGCACGTGTGATTGCTGTTTTAGAAAGGTTTTATTTTCGCCGCCATTCAATCAACAGTACATTTCTAAGCGCGGTTGAAAATAGACATTTCCTCGTATGCTGATTCTGCATAGCTTTCATGGACAATAAAAGACATTGAAACAAATCATACTACAAGTCTTCTTATACAGCATGAAACGCTACACAAAACGTAAACACTTGGATACTTGGATAGCCCGTCTTCACTGGTTGTGCTGGCCCCAGCATAATTCTCATCCTTTTTCAGGAGTTTTGCTGGTTGAGTCATTATGGTTCACTGGAGTGCAAAGTCTGCCCCAGGTCATCACCACCGCAAGCCGTCGCTGTCGTTGTGGAATAGACGGAGATTTGATACAATGCGACTAATTGAATACCAGGGCGGTGGTGGATCCTGGTAATGATTTACACTAAGGTGGGTTTTTTTTCGAAGCGTTGGACTCCTATCAGCTTGGGATATCGTGCTGGGTGGATGAATCTTCTCGCTGTACATCGTAGCCCGACACTCAGGAACACCTCCCAGCCACAATGAGGCGGTAAATCGCTGGAAGGACACAAAATGCAAATATCGATTCCATTCACCATCCAATCAGTAATGCTATCAAGCTTAGTCCACTTCGTGCTCAGGGCAATGCATTCAATCCGGATGATTATGACAAGAATATTTTTAAAAACTCACATATGTTCTTCTAGAATGCTCTTATAGATTTCGATCGCTTCTGTGTAGTGCATACGCATGTAGTGAATAGATGCTAACGATAACTGATCCTCCATAGTATTCTGAATGTTAATGGAAGACCGTAAATTTCCACCCTTCTATATATTCCTGACAAATTGACAAAACTAGTTCAGAGCGGATTTTTTGGCTTCAAACCTACACAAAACAAGCATTACTTTCTCCAAATTTTTTCAGCTTCAAAGAGGATAGATGCCAACAACGTACGCTAAGTAATTGATGATGTGCCATAAGCCTTTTTTCGTCTCCGAGTTTGTGCGATACATGAAAGAGCAACCTATTCTGAAGAGGTGTTCTCTCGGCTGAAACAGTCAATCAAACACCAATGTACTATGAAAAATGTACAAAAGATGATTAACTCCTTAGGATTTTCCGCTTTATAAATCTACATTTCCTAACGTATAGAAATAATGATACAAAAAGCTGAGCACCAGGCATGTAGTTCATTCAAGCCATATTCTCTCATGAACGGTTAACCACATCACTGTGACGAAAGGACGACTGTCCCCAGGTGCTGAACTACGATATGCAGCAGTAGGTTTTCCCTCAATCTCTCTCCTATTGTAATTAAGAGTAAACAAATTTTAAAAATCTTCACCTTCCAGGTAGAAACTTCCCATTTACGATGTGATAAACTTTCTCCGATGAATGAGTACAGGTGGAGGCTTGCTTAGACGACCTGTGATCATTCACGAACGAGTTTCTCTAGAGACCACAACAAAGATGGATTTTACTTGATCAGCCGTATGATAAGCTCAATATAATCATAATAAAGATAAGCATAATGGCCATTTAAGCTTATAACACTATTCAGAGAAACAAACATTGAGTGCCGATCAAATTCTAAAGGACAACAGATGTCATGAGTAGGAAACCAAAATAACACAAATTTTTGGAATTTTAACTTATTTTTTACTGCTACTCTTTTTAACGGCAGGGTATAAATTGTGAAATATAACTTCAATGATGCTGAGGTATTTGCAAAACTCCGGGCCGCAGGTTAAAAAGAGTAGGCAGTAAATAATAAGTTAAAATTGTGATTATACCTGCGGCCTCAGCTAAACTGGGTTCGTTGCCGATTTGGGCCCCCCCAGATCAATCTCACTGACGGGTGATTGCTGATGGCAAGAGATCGATAGAACTAGCTGAGAGGCAGGCGAACCGAAGGACCCGCGTGGTGTGGTAGTGGACGCGCTACTCCCCGGAAAGGACAATAGCGCGTTCGTTCTCCACCGCATACACCTGCGGTCCGGAGTTTTGCAAATATCTCAGCATCATTGATAGATTTTTGATTTATACCCACCATAAAAGAGCGCTTTCCACTAAGATTGAACGTTAAATTTTTCCTAAAGAGCGGACGGTAACAAGTTTAAAGTTTTCGTTTTCCCATCAGACCCTCATTATTTCGGAAAAGAATTCCATGTAGTATATCTCAGTGGCGTAGGCTTTCTCGTACACTACCCACTACATGTCGTCTTTTTTTGCCAACTTTTGTTTCAAGCTTCTGCATCAACGCTATCATCTATTTGCATTCACCAAAGTGCTCTAAAACAGAACCGGTACCGACGATATAGAGCCAGACCATGCCGTTAAGACGCTCGAGGAAAATCTTATTAATATTGAGAGAGATATTATTAGTAGAAAATCGAAACATGGATATGCCAGCTAGATCATAAGTGGTGCTTTCGTTAAGACGAAACGAGAAATAGAGTGATCGACACCACAAAGTAGACACCGCAAAAAAACGAACAAAGGAGTGCGTAACGTCATTAAGTTGAAGCAGTTTTGATCGGGGAATAATCGCAGACAACGAGAAAAAAATGGGCGATGATGAGCACACGTAAGAAACGGGTAAAAACTGGCCTGCGGTCCAGAAAAATTGTGGAAAGCGTTCACCCGAATATTAAAGCGAATAAAGCAGATTTTCTAGGAACAGCAACGCACGTAACCACTTCCTGTCAAAGGTAGTCTAGCCGCACAAAAGGTGTAGGCTATCAAAATTAGTGCAAAGGATGGTAATTGGGTAAGGAGGACCAAACAAGAACGCCTAGTTTTTTGAGAACAACCTTTAGCTAGGTGGGTCATTTTAAGCAGTTCAAGTAGTAGTACATCCTTTGGTGTAGTCTCTATGCTGAAAGATTAGATAACGCAAAAAAAGGTATTTCATTCAAAAAGCAATTAACTCTTCGTGCTTTTAAAGGACAATGGTGCACGATAGGAATGTCAGATAATTGTCACCTTTTTCAGCGGCGTATTTGGAGTCTTCGTACATTCCCAGGTAAAAGAAGCAGATGCCGAGATACACCGGAAGATCGGGATTGTCGATCCCATTGTTTTTCATGTCTTCGTATACCTGAGGTGATTTTTTGATTGGAATAGTTTCTCTCACTAATTTCTCTATCTCATATGGAGAGTAAAGAAAGGTGAGTACGAAACAATTCTTCTGACACTCACATATAATAACCTTCCAATTAGGATGGTGAAAATTTAGGTGAAAAATGTATGTATAAATTACCGCTTCTACTCAAGTTCTTCTAGTTAAATATTCTTGCCAAGCTCTGGTTCTGAAACAATGAAAACCCAGAAAGTATTTCCCTCAACATATTGCGAACAATGTGGCCTTTGTGATATGCCCTTTATCGTAAGCATGTCATTGTACAGTCATCTTTCAGGCAGATCTTTGCTTCTGGTATTCGCACTTTGCTTTTTAATTCTCTGTTTCTGCAGCTACCAAGCCTATTTGCACAGTTATTCCTTATGAAGGCCATACTAGAGTCATGTATCGACTATAAAAACGTATGGAAACTATTGAATCTCAGTCGAAAAGCATGATGATGACACCACACTTCTGAACAACTTCACTTGTCCGTGTCCACAGAAAACATTTCTGTGAAAGGAATTGCAAAATACAATTTATAGACGCACCAGATAAGACTGGAACAAGGACTCAACAAGCCTAACCAAGCAAGCATGTTTGAAAGGAAGCGTGTTATGCGGGCACACGAAAGTAAAGAGCACTTTACATGGTTACAGTTTAGTTACGAAGCTACAAGGACAATTAAAGTTCAATCCAAAGTATACTAAACCCATCAAGAACAATCAGTGTCCAAAAATGGAATCCAATTTTCTCTCGATTTATCTCGAGCAAACTTAATGTACTCCGTCTGTTTACTCAATCACTTAAAACCTTTGTCAATTTCTTCTTTCGCTGAGCAAATGACAGAACAGTGATCCATTTTCATTAATTATTTACTGCCTACTCTTTTCAATGGCAGAGTATTTTGAGAAACATAACTTTAACAATGTTGAAATATTTGAAAAACTCCTGACCGCAGGCGTAATAGGAAAGGGTAATAGAGCGTTCGTTCCCCACCGCAAGCACTTGCGGTCCGGAGTTTTGTAAATATCTCAGCATTACTGAAGTTATATTTCACAACAGCGATCTATATATCTACAAAGGAGTGATGATTAGCATCGGTTACTGGTCCTTCCATCATTGACATAAATGCAATGACAAGACTTGGTGAATTCTGGCTAGAAATTGTATGTCGGTCATGTTTCGGAGCACATCGTTTGAGCGCTGTCTGACTAGTGCACAGTATTCTTGACGTTGTTGAAGCATTAGCATAACAAGAAGGACTGCCCTTTATTTGGTCGACAGCTTCTTTGAGAGGCCCAAATGTGGTCCATGCTGTTCTTCTTCTTCGTTCTAATTCCATCTTTATATTGTCTTCCATCTTCAGTGAACGCCCAACAAATGCGCACAATGTGGTCTGGGTAATCAGAAAACCATCAAGTTTGATCTGCTCACCACTGCATAATCGGTTTCTCAGGATTTGGTCTTTCTCCGATTTAGTCCGACCATTTCTCTCGCTTCGCTGAGCTCTTTAAGCATCTTCTTTGCTTCACTAGTACGAAAACGACGATGACATTAGCAAGGCAAAGATTTGACAGCAATTCTCCATCGTTACAAATATGTCTTTCCCGTCTCATTCCTTATCCAATATTATTTTCCAAAAATTAAGGAAATTTCTTCGGTTACCAGCTCGAATACCATAAGCGTTCTCCGCTTTTCAAATTACAGTACGCAAAGCGGAAAATGTACAACTAAATACTTTCCTTGAGTATCGTAAATGATTCATTTTATCTCATAGACGAACAAATAGTGCTCAGAATTTTCTTCAGATGAAGAGACATCATATATTCTACAAATCCCAGGAATTCTTCCATTTGATTCGTTTTCTCACGCCCACTTATCATGAAAAAATTCGGATTTTTCTTATAGGTTCTCCTACTCCTTCAGGATTCTTTAGTTTCGTTATGCATGATATCAAACGTTGATCAACTTAATTCTCCTCGCATTCGTGGGATAACAGTGCCAAGGCGTCCTAGGTTTTGTGCTTGGAGGGAGTTTCTTATACAAGTTTGATAACAATTTACGGCGTACGGAAGGACTGAAGGCTTAATTAGCTTGAGGTGGTCGAATTATGACCTTGTGTGTATTAAACGGTATCGTTGCCGCTGTCCCACCAGAACTTTGTCATTAGATTAATATAACTGTAGTGGACTTTATTGACGTGCAAGTGCAATGTAATGAGCCTGCTCCGAAGTCGAGCTCAAAAATCCGCAGCCTGTCGTTATATGCTATCATATAAAAGGAGAATAAAGCCTCCAGCGTTGACCAATCCCTGAGGGATGTGCCATGCATTCGACTTCATTGAGTATCGTTGGAGGTGAACGAATGCATATCTGACCTTTACAATGACTCGCGGTTGCCTATCGATGTATCGAGCTAGTGCTGCCATCCTCACAGACAGGTCTGGTACCAATTTGCTGATTCCTGGAGGAAAGGCTAGTTGGGACTAGGACGGGAATCGATTCCACGTATGTGTTGGAGGGCGCATCCAACCACTGCTCCACACGCGCTCATGTTATTATGTATTTATTATTTATAGGCCACACGTAGTAGTAAACAGTAGAGGAAAAACCTGTATCACCCACAGTCCCGCTAATCGTCGAGTGACTCGAACGAGCGCCAATAAATCTTCCATTTTCCCTGTCGCGTGCAAGAGTAGCCCAGTGGGTTCTGCTCGCTCTAGGGACTCGTCGAGCATCATATCTTTCTTCAAGGCTCTTTGTGAAGAACTCTGACCATCGGGTCGTTGGTCTTCCTGCAGTGCGTTTGGCATCCCGAGGAAAAAGTCACTAACGGCCCTTGTCCATCGGTTGTCATTCATACGCATTACGTGTCCGGCCCACCTTATCTTCTGTTTGGCGTACAGAACGGCATCTTTGACTTTTGATCGCTGACGCAGATCGGGGTTTCGGATCCCATCCCTTACCTGTGTGGAATGGGATACTCCTAGCATCGTCCTTTCGACTGCGCGTTCCATAACGCTGAGCGACCTTTCATCCTCCTTACGCAGCGATCAGGTTTCTGATGCATGCGTTAGGGCAGGAAATACCGTTGAATGGAAAAGGTGGGCACGGAGTCGGGTGTTCTTTGTTCTCTTCACTACATCCTCGGTGCTCTTGAAAGCTCCCCAAGCCGCTCGTTTCCTTCTGCTCAGCTCTGGAGCTAGCTCGCTCATTATATTGATTTCCCGACCTAGATAGATACAACTGGACCATCCGGGGATATTCGTTCGCTGAGCGTGAATGGCGCATGCGAAACCAATCCATTCTTTATTAACATCGTTTGTGTGAGATTTAGTCGAAGACCAATCTTTCCACAGGCTTTATCAAAGTCGTCAAGCATACGTTCCGCTTGGCTAATGTTTGGTGTTATAAGGACGTTATCATCAGCAAAGCGAAAGTGATGTAACTGCCGACCATCTATTTTCACTCCCATATTATCCTATTCTAGTGTTCGCATGACGTTCTTGAGGGTGGGGTAAACAATTTTGGCAAGATGGTATCGCCTTGCCTAACTTCTCTTTTGACGTCAATGCTAATATTGTTGTAGAATGGTGCTATCATATTTGTAAATTTTTTGTACAGCTTACGAAGAATCTTCATGTACTGAGTAGGGACTCCTTGACTATCAAGGGCTTCCATGAGTGCTTTTATCTCAATTGAATCAAAGGCCTTCTGTAAATCGAAGAAAGTGAGGCAGAGCGGTCTTCTGTACTCTCGCGATACTTCAGTGAGCCTTGCTATCGTGTGGATGTGGTCCATCGCAGAAGATCCCTTTCGAAACCCTGTTTTATCACATGGTTGTCTTTCGTCCAGTGTTTTGTAAACTCTGTTCAGGACAACTCGAGTGAAAAGTTTGTAGACGACAGATAGCAAGATTCAGTCAGGTAACGTGTGAAGAGCCGAGCCAGTGGGTTTACGAGGACTGGTGGAAGGTTTTTCAGGTGTTCTGGTGTTATCCTGTTCGGGCCTGGTGCTGCGATTCCACGCTGATGTGTTTGCTCGAATGTTTCTGGAGACAAACGTCTCTTGGTAACTTTTAAACCCTCAGCTTTCATAGCGCTAATGTGAAGATGTTGAATGAGCCGATCGTATTCTTCGTCGATGTTATCGACAACGGCATCTTCCCAACAGCCGACTAATGAATTGAATAAGTCCCAGTTTGCGGTGGTTCTGGGACTTTGGTTTTGGAATTTAGCGACTTTTCCTCATTTCCGCGAGAAATAGAATCTTGCACGAAGGAGACGATGGTCTAATCTCGTGTAAAATTTTGGAACAACAGCGACATCAGTTAGGCAGATCCTTCTATTTACTAATGATGTGATCTAATTCGTTATGGTACACTGCACTGGGAGACTCCCACGTGCAGCGCTGTGGGTGGGGCTTCTCGAATTGCGAGTTACCATAGATGGTCTCGGTCGCCATGATAAACTCAGCCGCTCACCCTTTTTGTTCCATTCTAATCCGTGGGTGCCAATGTGACGTTCTTCAGACGCTATTCTTGGTCCAATCTTGGCGTTAAAATCTCCAATGATAACCTTGAAGGATGTATGGTCTTCTCTTTAGAACTTCTCCAAGCCCATATAGAACGCTTCGACTTCTTCGTCATAGTTTGATGTCGGCGCGTAAACGACGAAGTCTGTCAAAGCCGGAATTGATCCACTTCTTTTTAATCGTAAACGTCCGACTCGAGTTGTATGTTGTTCGAATGAATCGATGTCCATGAACAAGGATGGAACATGGACAAAAACGAAAGATATTTATGTCTACTGCATGGACTTCGCGGACTAACCATACCCCAGAGATTTTTACCTCAGAGTGTAAACGATCGGATGGTACCGCTTGCTAGAGTGCACACTTAATGTGCAGAAATGTGGGAGAAAGATCGCTACCACAGCTCGGAAAATATATCAAAAAAGTGAAAAATGACTCAGTATAGTTAATAAAGCGTATCTTTCACGATTATATTCTGTGTGTATTAAAATTCTTTCCTTAAACTCACATCGAGAGCTTTTTTGTAGTCACCGGATCTGAAGTAACAGTGTCCGAGCCACAAATCCGTCGACTCATTTTTCTCACCGTTCTTTTGTTTAAACTGCAAATAAGAGTAATATTATGGTCAGTAAACGCCTTAAAATAATAAGTTGTTTTCGTAAAGGGTGCACTGCACATCGGCGATCGGAAGGGCGTTGTTTTCAGAATGCTGAGTCAATAGTAACGGTGCAGTAATATCGTGTGGTACAGTTCCAGCGGATGGAACGCAACGGGGACTTTCCCATTTAGGTCGCCAATACAGGTGTAGCCATACAAGTTCACTTCCAACACCCACTACATCGTCGTTTCCAGTGAGGTTACCAATGTCGACGTCAAGTCCACTGCCAACACACGGCATCCTATACTATAACCACGCTGTAGATGACGGGCGCTAAGAGTTATCACGATAAAGCATTCTTACATCAGCATTCTCAAAAATTTTTTCTCGAAATGGTTCTTTTCTCTTGTACTCACCACTACCAGTAGAATAAACAGTTTAAACAAGTGAACACGTATTGTGAAGAAAATACAACATCAGTCATTTCTCATTATTTAGTAAAACTGCGATGATTAACGTTTTTACAGTGAAAGGTGAAAGAATGAAAACCAGTGTTGATTCGAAGTCGATTTTGACTTTACAAGTCTGTGAAGTAGGAGTCCTCCTAACGATTTACCGCCTCATCGTGGCTGGGAGGTGTTCCTGGGTGTCAGGCTGCAATGTACAGCGAGGGGATTCGTCCCTCCAGCAGGATCCCAAGCTGAGGAGTCCGGTGTTTCCAACAGGAAAACTAGCTGAGAGTAAACCAATACCAGGATCCGCCACCGTTCTGGTATCAAAGTCGTGGCAAATCTTCCTCTGATCCACGTTGGTGACGACCTGGGGCAGACTTTAGCCAGGCTGACCTCGGGATTCCAGGGAACCATAATGGCATAACCAGCAAACTTTCGATAAGTGGTGATTATGCTGGGGCCTACACGACTGGTAAGGACGGGCCGTTCAAGTATCAAGTATGAAGTAGGGGTTCGTTCACCACTCTCGTGAATTTAAACTGTGTCTCTCCAAAAGCTCTTACACACAATTTCACTCTATAATGAATGGTTAGCTGCAAGGAAACAATTTAAATTAGGGAATCCTAGCGATACTTGTTGCTGTGCCAGTAAATAACTCTGGACTGATCACGACTGTATGTGCTCGGTCTACTGCTAACTACGAGACATTACGCAGCGCTTTCAAGATCTAAACAGACTTTAGGAAGTGTGCTAACTAAGGGTGAAGCTCATTTCTACTGTCAGAGTAACAGTCCACAAAACGTGATCCATTGCTGTAAACCTAGTTAATTTCAACAGTTGCCTAAGCTCTTAATACACCTTACAAAAACTCCGTCTTTAAAGTTCAACTCTTGATAAAGGCAGCCAAATGTTTCAAAACAAATATTGGCGAAGCAACTACCTCTAATAGTGAAATAGCAGCCGCATAGTCCCTTTTGAGCAAGAATTCGTTCAAATCTGGGATTTGCCGGTGAACTCGAGGACGAGGCGCCGTCGGCTGTTTCTTCTTTGCTGGTCGCAATCGTGACAGTAACTAAATAACTTAGCAGTTTTTAATGGCACCTAAATCTGCAGTTTTTAAAAGGTTTCGTTGATCTTTCGGCTCGTGCTCACGTGAACGTTCCCACCTTGTTCTTTCTCTCTTTAACAAATTGTTCTGTTCTGGTGCTGGTGATTGCAATGTTTTATAAATCTCTCTGTCCATAGATAAGCGTGTTTTTTCTAGGATACGAATGGAAAATTGTTTTGAAAATCGTGCTTCACATTGATAACAAGCATCTGATTATCTTCAGATTGAGGAGGACAACAAGCACAATCTACACTTTCAGAATTTCTCTCAGCATTCGTATAATTCTCTTCGTATATAATTTCGTATAATTTATAGTTTCCAAAATTCTACATCACAACGTTCATGACCAAGACAATTCCTCGAAAATGCGTGGCACTGCTTCCCATTAGATCAGCCCCCTGTGAATCACATACGATACATGCAAGTCGAAATACCACTTGAGTATGATCCTATCTCTCCTTTTGACATTTACTGCGACCTTCTCTCCCATAAATTCATCAGTACTCCTTAGCGCTACTTTTCCACACTTTTCTCTATGTATCCATTATGATCTTCCTATGTAGTTTACAACGTTGTTTGGAATGTTTTCTTTTGTCTAATGAAGATTACTTAGTCACCATGTAGTCATAGCAACGGTGGGGTTTTCTAAAATACACAAAGCATATTCATATATTGGTCCATGTTAAACAAAAACCATTATTCTTTATAATCCTGTTGAGCAAACACGAGGTGATATCTTATCTCTTCATTTAAGAGCAAGCTGACGTTTCAGCGAAGTTCGCCTTGGTCAGAGCCCACTATTCTCCTCTAGAGGCGGTCCAACAAATATTGAGCACAATGGTTTTTTTTTCGTCTAGTATTTCTTTCATTTGGCGAACATCGGATCTTTTTTGTCTTGTGGACAAGTGCGTAGTATTTGCATTTCATCGTCCAGTAGTCGGTGGTTATCCTCTGGCAGTCCGCATACATCGTGTAGTTGCCATCGTTTGATGAAGTTCAAAACGACTTGGTGTTGTAGGCAGCGGCGGAGAAACTGTTTTCTGTCAAGCTAAAACGATCTTTTGTCTTAGTGACAGCACTTCTTTTACAAGTCGGAAGTATCTTGCTGTCACATCCCGTAGTAATTCCCACGACCGACTTTCTATTGACCTCCGCACTGATCGAAAACAGTTCCTTATATTCTTCTTGACAATTATAAAAGATAATAGAAAAATAGATTCTTGTTGAGCAAATATAAAAAAAAATAGATAGGGAATACCCTTTCTTGACCCTGCCGGCTACGACATAATTGAAAAGAAGTTATCGATCTCAACAAAGCATATAACAAGAAGTTGCGCTGTAGAAGAAAAAATTGGGAAGAATATGCTCCGTGCATCACTCACATTGTCCTTTTCAAACCAATAGAACTCACGAAACAAGGATATATTTGTAAAGTGGATCTATATAGGTGAACCAGGGGACTAGCGCATGGAGGTAGCTAGCTATTGAAACAGCTAGTGTAAAGGAAATTGATGCACTATAGATTTGTGCATGATATTGTGGTGATAAGACGATGAAATTTCACGAATATAGATTACATCGATGGCATTCAGATGTTGATTAGTAAAGAGATAACGTTACGATACAAACATCGTTGCTATTGAGAATTAGTATCCAATAGCTACATAGACCGTTTGCTAAGCGACCAGTGAAAATTTCCCCATCGTGGGAAAAATTACTGTGGCCACATCTTCCATGTCTATTTATTTAACCTCGTAAATAGGAATGGCATTGCATTTATTAAGGAAAAATCGAAAAAATCTCACCATGTTGATGAAATCCGCAGTTGAATCGCGTGAGGCTGTATACTTCGCTGCGCTTTGTTCCCCATGACAACGCTCAACAACGCCGTCCATCGAAATCACTGTAGTGAATGAGTCTTGAACCCTAAACACTTCAGCATAAAAGGAAACAGGTTAAACCTCTTGGCTTCCTAAAGGATGCGCCATGCACCTAACACCATCAAACGTGGTTATAAGTGAATGAATGCATATCTGGCCAATACAATAGCTAGCGTTGGCCCAGAAAGTATCAAGTCAATGTTTCTGTCCACCCAGACAAGCCTCGTACCAATTTAACGACCTCGGATAGATGGAAGGCCAGGTGAGCTTGGGACGCGGGATCGATCCAACTTCGAGTTGGGTATTGCAGGGCATCTTTAACTACTACGCTATACGCACCCTACTCATATTGGCATATTCTCTGGGATACTTGCAAACATGCATGACGCCGGTATGATGTTCATATACGTATGGTCACACTAATAGATTTGAGTTGTGCACTACTTGTATGGAACCGTATGATATCCTAACTTCAAATCTCCCAAAAGTTCGCAGTCAAAGTAACTGAGAAGGACATGAGAGTGGGTACAGGAGCACCATCAAGAAATAAGTCAAATGTCTACTACATCAGAACTTCATAAGTTCCTTAAGAATGCACTTTGAAACTTAAGGCAAAGCAGCGGGAGAAATCAGATGTTACTCTTTCTCGAAAAGCAATCTGGTAGGTAATACTCGACGCTTAATATCGTTTGGCCAAATGGGACGATACCTAAATTTATGTTGGCTACAGACTTGTACAACGCTGGCGCGATTACAAGAGAGCCATGGAATGAGTAATGCTGGCAGTCTTTCGGAAACAGGTGATAATTTTTTGCTAATGGAAGACTTCAAGAGATCAGAACATAACTTATAGCAGAGACGTTGCCCTACCACACTTGGGGTAGATAGGATCTATCGTCCACCACGTCAGCTTCGGACGTATTTGCAGCGTCGAGGGTATTTGTCCACTTCCTATCATAGCTATGATTCAAAATTGCGATCGGAAATGAAATAGCAGTCTGGTACTGGCACAACTAGAGGACGCCAATAAGTGAAAGGGAGGAGATCGGCGCAATGGTCGGAGGCGCCCTGTAACACATCTGGTATAGAGAACACTCGTCAGGAATATAAAATGTTTTCTATCCTTTCATATTGTATAAGCCTTGGTAGCGTTTCCAAATGGACTTTCTATTTAAGCTTTTATACAAGCCATTCCGTCGCTCTCGCTTTCACATGTGCTTTGCTGTATAAGCTATTGCGTAGACTTCACGAGCTTTCCGTGGATGTAGCTCAATCAGATTGCACTAGCTGAAAAACTTTTAGAACCTCACTCTAAGCGCTATCTCTAGTTTCCTCTGTCAAATCCCTATCTATTATAGAAGGAATACAAGCAATATGTATTCTTTCTTGATAAGCTTGCACGAGGTTGATAAATATATTTATTTTCGGCTAACGTTTCGACGTCTTCGTCTTCCTCAGAGCCGGTGATCCGAGTCGATGGTCCATGCTTGTTGTTCGCCTCGACGTTGCGTCTTCGCCTTCCTGTCGAGCCAGATCTTCCTCAGCGAGCCATCTTCTCGAATGAGGCATCCCCACTCAGTGATGCCCTTTTATACACGATGCTGATGGTGGATATATAATGACAATGTCCGGTGGTAACAACTTGTATTTCTTCCGGACATACATCATTGCGCACATCGTGCAGAGGTCGGTGTGTTATCAGCTAGCACAAAGCGTAGTAATATTTCGAAACCGACCTTCCCTAAACCTCGGTGTGACAAATCAATATGTATTCTTTCTTGATAAGCTTGCACGAGGTTGATAAATATATTTATTTTCGGCTAACGTTTCGACGTCTTCGTCTTCCTCAGAGCCGGTGATCCGAGTCGATGGTCCATGCTTGTTGTTCGCCTCGACGTTGCGTCTTCGCCTTCCTGTCGAGCCAGATCTTCCTCAGCGAGCCATCTTCTCGAATGAGGCATCCCCACTCAGTGATGCCCTTTTATACACGATGCTGATGGTGTTTTTTTTTTGACAATGTCCGGTGGTAACAACTTGTATTTCTTCCGGACATACATCATTGCGCACATCGTGCAGAGGTCGGTGTGTTATCAGCTAGCACAAAGCGTAGTAATATTTCGAGAAGATGGCTCGCTGAGGAAGATCTGGCTCGACAGGAAGGCGAAGACGCAACGTCGAGACGAACAACAAGCATGGACCATCGACTCGGATCACCGGCTCTGAGGAAGACGAAGACGTCGAAACGTTAGCCGAAAATAAATATATTTATCAACCTCGTGCAAGTTTATCAAGAAAGAATACATATTGATTTGTCACACCGAGGTTTAGGGAAGGTCGGTTTCGAAAAGGAATACAAGCAGTCCCTCAGTTAGCTTTCTTAGTGTTCGTCCGTAGTGTTCATCCAGTTCGTCCAGTTCATTCAACTGGTTCAGTTCGTCCATATACTTCGCTTCCCTGTTATTGTTATAATTGTTACTACAGTCATAAAAGTTATAACCCAGTGTCCAAAGGGCTTCGACTCAGTGACTCAAGCACAAAAGACCCGCGTGGCAGCTACAAAGTCTAATATTCCCAACTACTTGGTATTCATATAAAGTTGTGACATTTATTGTATTTGTTACTTATTTTAAAGACATTTATTGTGGCCACATCCAGTACAAATAAAAGATAAAGGATAAAGTTCTCGGCGATGAGCAACCCCTGAGGGATGCGCCATGTATTCGACTTCATCAAGCATTGCAGAGGTGATTGAATACATATCTGGCTCATACAATGCTCTGCAGTGGCCTGTCAATGTATCGAGCTAGTGCTGCTACCCTCCCAGACAAGTTTGGTGCCAATTTGCCGACTCTGGAGGTATGAAGGGTTTGGTGAGCCTCCTGAGAGAGTGAGAGGGGTGGGATCCCATATGTATTGTAAGACGTGTCCGACCGCTGCGCTACACGTGCCCTTCCCAGTACAAATATGAACAAAAATTACACCTACACGAGTTTTCTCGAAGATTCAGATCCTTATCAAGGTAAAAAAGATGTTTCTAAGTGTTCAGCTGCAGTGTCGAAGTGCAATAGAGGCAGCAACACGAGTAAAGTAATGAAGAAAGAGAAACAAAGAAAAAAGAAAAAACTGCTCATGACAAAGTAAATCACCGAAAAATTGCTTCTGAATTCACGAGGCCCGTAAGTCAGTAAAACTTCAGAAAGAGGTGGAATACTTCCACCTGCTCATGTTAGTTCCGCCATACGTCAAAATTCATTTCAGCCTTCGTGACTGTCTTAGACTATTTGTCCTAGAATATGCAATAGCGCAATATTTTGTCATCTCTTTTTTATTTTGCATAACCTGTCGCCACATTTACTCTGTGGATTCCAGTGCTTCTTGTACTGGACTCATTCTCCTCGTATTCATCAACTACAGAGGTCTCCGAAATTTTCGCATGTTGTTTCGGCTGCCGCTTTCGGGTTTCGTCTTCTTTATGGATGTCGTAGAATGCTGGTTGAGCCAATTTTCCTTGTAGTCTTTGAGACAGCCGAACTAAAGCGTTCCCACGTGGACTGTAGGAGAGCGGTGGTTGGGGTGGAGTGGGGGAGGTGAGGAACTAGAAACTGACTTCCTGATGAACTGCATCACTAACCTCTGCGCCTCCTCTAACAAATGGAGAACGCCTTCTGTATTGATATCTAATTTAATTGCCTTAGTTTTGAAAACATGCACAAAGTCGGAAGGGAAAATATTCAAAGATGACGAAAAGTGACTATCCTTTCTTGCCCATTACTATAATTGTCAAACAGAATAGGATATGTTGGAATCCATAATTATTAGCTATCTAACAGCATACTTATACTACAGTTACAAGATATACTTACTTGTATACCTGGTTGGCTCGTCCTCAATAGTTGTGCGGGCCCCACCATAATTTCCATTTTTTCGGATTTCTTCTGGTTTAGCCATTATGGCTCCCTGGAGAACCGAGGTCAGCCAGGCCAAACTCTGTCCAAGGTCGCCATCACCACAGACAGTAACCGCCGTTGTGGATCAGAGGGGGATTTGCCACCATGAGACTGGTTTGACACCAGGCGGTGGTGGATCCTGGTCTTGGTTTACTCTTAGCTGGGCTTCCTAAAGAAAACGCCGGACTCCTTCTCAGCTTGGAAGACCCCGCTGGTGGGATGAAGACCCACTGTATATCGCAGTCCGACACCTAGGAACACCTTCCAGCCACAATGAGTCGGTAAGGTGTTGAGAGGAAAAAAAAATACTACGGCTGTGAATCTTCGTAAAAGTGTACAAGATGGAGTATTAGCAACGTCTGGCGGATCCCATAGTGCTCAAACAAATGTTACAGGGTTCCAACTATTTCACTATGTTCTTAATTTTTCTCGGAAAATTGACAGCAGATGAATCCGCATGTACTTTCTGCTCAAGCGAAACATCATCGACTCAGACTAAACACATCTTCTCTTTATCTTGATAAAGTCGATATGTGAAATCTCTAAGTGAAGTTTGAACGAAGAACCGCTCTTACGCAGGAATGCTACGTTTCTCCACAACGCATGACAGTCACTTTGTCGACGTTGAAAAACTCGAAAGTATGCGTAGAGTATTCGATACCCAGTTATCTTCTCATATGGATTGATGCAACATATCTCTGTTTTGTGGTAGTCCCTCCCAGGGGTTTACCGTCCTATTGTGGATGGGAAGTGTTCCTGGGTGTCGGGCTGAGTTGTACAGCGGGGATCCATCCCCCAGCAGAGCCTCCTAGTTTGAGGAGGAGTCCGGCGTCTCCATGAGGAAACCCAGTTAAGAGCAAGCCAATACCAGGATCCAGCACCATCTCGGTATCAGATTAGTCACGTGGTGGCAAATTTCCCTCTCATCCACATGGGCTGCGACTGCCTATTGTGGTGACGACACTGGGCAGACTGGCCTGGCTGATCTCGGGACTCCACGGAACCACGATGGCTAAATCAGCAAAACTCCTAAACATCGAAAATTCAACATGTGTATGGTTATTCATGTGGTGTTATTCACTACTTGAATGATCTGTTCCCAAGTAGTTCTTCAGCCTAATATATTTATTACGACTAGCAAGAAATCCGAAAGTTACTTGTTTGGCGAGAACATTTCAATTGATCTTAGTATTCTTGTTGAGCAAACGCGAGGTGTTATTTTTATTCTTTATTCACGAATAAGCTGACGTTTCGGCGGATTTTGCCTTCCTCTGGGCCCCTTCCAAGTGAATTCTGTGCGGCTGGTCTCCACGCGCCATACTCAGTGGAAGCCTCATAGAAATCGGCTCTGAGGAAGGCGAAATCCGCCGAAACGTCAGCTTATTCATGAATAAAGAATAAAAATAATACCTCCCGTTTGTCCAACAAGAATACGAAGAATTACTTGATCTATGCTGAGGTTAATAGAAAGTCGGTCGTGGGACTTTCCACTGTGCGTTTAGGGGACGGGAATCACTGGCTAGGCACGCACTTCCCTTTTCGAGAGATTCCGCGCTCTAATGGCGGAATCGCGTCTGGAATTTCGACTCCGCCTCACTGCCGCTGACAAAGCTCATAGTCGATAGTGGCTATGTGGATGTTGGGTTTCTAAAGTTTTGTTGTTTTTTCTTCAGGAAAAAGAAGCGTCTGTTGCGAACCGTTGTCTTCTCATAATCTGACAGGTGAGTATATTGTACAAGCCTTTAGCAGTGGTTATGAAAGTCAGAGCTTAAGTTTCTGTGTACAGATTTGCTTGATACTTGATACTTGAACGGCCCGTTCTCACTGGTTATGCTGGCCCCAGCGTAATCTCTATTTTTCGGAGGTTTGCTGGTTAAGCCATTGTGGTTCGCTGGAATCCCGAGGTCAGCCTAGCCAAAGTCTGCCGCAGCATAGAAGATTAGTAACAGTAATTGAGAAACAGTAGAGTAGGAATGTCACCGTATACCGTTTAAATTCGATTGGTGTATCCATTCTTGAAGTCACATAACCCTTGGGATCGATCGTTTTTCTCTTGTTAATATCGTCTGTTATGGCAGTACGCGTTTTTTAGCTCTTTGAGTTGAGAATTTCATTTATAGCAATGTGGATAACGTTAGCTTCCTCTTCGCGAAGTTTCGTCTGTCGTCGCTTCTTTTGTGGGCTACGTTCGGCGATCCTTGCCAGTGGCTCTGGGTTTCGAACTTCTGTTCCGGATTCTTTCGGGACTGCAATAGGTGAGTGAAGTTGTGGTATGTTACGGGTTCTCATTGATCCACCCTGTGCTCTGATTGTCGCTACATCACTTTGTCTCCTAGTGCACTCATGCATTGCTTTCAAACGCCAAATAACTTACTTTTGTTTGTTATTCCTTCTCTGTGTTTAAAAGATAAAAAGTGAAGCTCAAGGCGTTGATCAGTCCCTAAGGGACGCGCCATTTGACTTCATTAAGCATCGCTGAAAATGATTGAATGCATAGTGGGCCTGTCCAAGGACTCATGTTAGCCTACCGATGTATCGAGCCAGTGCTGTTATCCTCCCAGACGAGTTTGGTGCCAATTTGACGCTGGAGGAATGGAGGGCTTGGTGGACTTGGGACACAGGGACCGATCTCCTGTGTATTGCAGGGCGCCTTCGACCACTGCGCTTTATGCGCCCTGTCTTTGTGTTTATCACATTGAATCCGGCATACGCTCACACAGTTTTTGTCCTGAGGTGAATACTCGTTCATAAGACAATCTGTTCTATGTAATTCAGTTTTTTTTTAAATCTTGCCTATAGTGATCACTTGCAGTAATACGTTGGATTAGAACTCGAGGACATAGTACAGACTCTGAGCGGCGATCGCTTGACAATGAACCGAAGAGAGATGAGCAGTCGGAAGAACCGCAAAGAGACCAGAACCCAGAAAAACCAAAGGTGGACTCCGCTTTGCGTAAGAATTTATAAATAACAAAAAAGTGTGAAACGTTTCGTTCCTCTGTTCATTTCCAACGTAAACCTCCAAGCAAATTGGTGATGCCCACCTTGAGCGTTGGTTTCGTCTTAATGTCACCCTAATGGCCCTTTCAACTTTCTTTCGATTCCTTTGTCAAATAGCTAGATTGTAAATAGCTCATGTAGGATAGAATCATGGTTGAGCCAACTTCCCACACTACTAAGACGTCCAAAAATATTTTTGAAAACGCGGTTTGGGTCGATTTATTACTTTCCTCATTTATAAAATATTTAGTAAAGAAACTGCGCACCTATGTCCTTATCATCGGCGGATTGTCATTTGTGATGTCTTTCATAATTCTTTCACAAATGCCTATGGGAGAAGTGGATATGGAAGATGTCAAGAATTATTTAACAAGGTTTTTTCTTTTAGTTTGAAGAGATGTCGACTAGGTTTAATAGTATCCGTAGTTTTTCAGGCCAGGCATCGATGTCAATTCGTTTTTCTCCAAGTATTTAAAAGCAGGGGAAGTAGGTTTCGGCCTTTTTTTCACATAATCTTTTAATTTCTAACAGTTGTTGGGTTCACTTAAGGTGAGACGAATAATATTTTGTCCTGATTATTCTCGAGCGGTCGCCTTTCTTTATGAAGGAGCCGTTATTGAGGGAAAAAAGGTTGTGCTTCATTTACATTCCATAATTCATGTCTTCATTCTTTTTAAAATGTCTTAGTTATTGGGATCAATAGGATTATAGGTTCATGAGCCCGTAGTGGTGGTAACATATACTCAAGGTTCCCAGCAGTTCTGGGCAGACGTACGCAGAGAGGAAAGTATTATGGGAATATCTCTAGCTGATGGAGTCCGACTGGATATTTATAAAGGAATTAGTACATTTCGGTAACCACCTTTATTTAGTACACAAAATAATAGTTTTTTTTTTTAAGAATTCAGGAACTATTCCTGAGAAATGCTATTGATGTCATAGCAGTAGTTTCCATTTAGTTCCGGAATTGCTACGTATTAAGGCTTTTTGTTGCAATACCTTTCTTTATATTGCTTTCCGAATGGCATCTTGAGTGTAAACTTAGAAATGCGAGAGAGGCGAGTACAAAAGGGTCAAATGTTACGTCTTTTTGTACGTCAAACATTTTGATTAATGTGATCACTTTTTACTTACTGTGTATATTTTTTTTAATGGCAGATTATGACGTGAAATGGGACCAAAATGATGCTGAGGTATTTGCAAAACAGCGGAAGGCAGGTGTCTGAGATGGAGATCGCACACGCTACTACCTTTTTCGTGCTAACGCTTTCGCCGCCACACCATGCGGGTCCTTTCTGAGAAAGGGTGAGACTGATAGAAAGGTGAAACGAATGGCCTAAATGGTGTGGTAGTGAATGCGTTACCTTCGGAAAGGGTAATACAGTGTTCGATCCCGATCGCAGACAGCTGAGGACCGGTGTTTTACAAATATCTCAACATCATTGTGGTTATCATTTGGATTATCCTTAGTAGTGAAAAAGGAAGCATTACATCGTTTTATTGCTAAGATAGCCGATATTTGTGTTTTTCAACAAGATGTTATAGCAGAAAAGATTGTACGACGTTTTTAAAATTAAGCGTAGTTTAATATACGCCGTCATAGAGCCATTAGATCAGAAAGTATTACTTACCGTTGTTACAGAGTAATCGAGTTCATCATTGGAGTGCTAATAATTGCCTGGCTTGGAACTCAGTATGGCCGTCTACTGCACCAACGATTGTTGTCAAGGAAAAAAGAATAAAATGGAAACCGAGAAGAGTTTAGAATAATTACCAATTATACAAAATCCTCTGAATGGGCACTTACCTCTTATCAGCGCTCTCCAGCTTATGTACCAAAATTTCAATATACTGTGCTCCAATATAGAGGAATTTTTGTACCGAAGATTTCTGTCCATTAGTGGGAGCAATCAATATGAAGATTAAGTAAAAAGTATTCCTGGCTTTCTTACTGGTGAACGAATCGGTTTTTCGTCGTTATTATTAACCTGGGAGAACATGATCCCTAAGTTCTCGTTGGTTTTGTAGCGATTGTACTTGTATTGTATTCGTCGTCGGATATTTCATAAAGTATTGATATTAACGTGTAAGATTTTGTCCTTATTGAGGTATATTCCGCACAGATATCGTTATCGCTATCACCTTCATAGTAATCAGTTTCATAATTTCATTTGTGGTATTGTACTTAGCTGGTAATAGGTGCATTACTTTCTTTTCTATTTAGCTGCAAGGAGGTTACAGTTCTTTTCGACATGACTGACGTGATGCGTGATATGATTGCGCAGCTGATGGGGAGTCAGAAGGAAGGCGAAGAAGGTTAGTGCCAAGATTTGGTTTAAAAATGAATCACTAGTAGAAAACGACGCGGCTGCTTCAAGAAGTGGTTTTTTACTAGTTCAGTTACATTTCGAAGTATGTATAGAGTGTAAAACAGCGTTTGGTATTGAACGGTTCATGAGGGATGGCTCATGTATTCAACTTCACTAAGCATCACTAGAGTGAACGCATGTCTTACCTATGCAATGACCTGCGGTGCCCTACTAATGTGCCAACTCAGTGCCGCTACCTTCCCAGACAAGTTTTGGTAGCAATTTACCGACCTAGAGGGATGGAAGATTTGGCGAACTTGGGACGCACGATAGAGCTAGCAACCATATTTTATTGCAGCATACCTCTATCCACTGTACTTGACACGTCCCTTCTAAACAGGTATGTCATTCTTTAATATTTTCCTATGTGTTACAGGACGCGATCTTCCACCGTACCATCACCCATCAGTTTGTCGAGCGTACCTCATTGGATGCTGTCCGTATGAACTTGTACCTGATAGCAGGCTTCAAGGATTGGTATCTTGTCGCAAAACACACGAGCCAGCACACAAGGCGGACTTTTTGAAAGCACAGAAAGAGAGGGACCACTATTATGACGTTGACGTAAGGAATTTTATTCGTTTTTGGTTGGGACGACGCTTCGGTGAATTTCCTGAATGCGAACCAATTCTTCATTTGTATAGAAAAGAGATCTTAACATTTAGAGTCCATCATGAATTTATTCCCATTTATACGAGAGACAGATCGGCTGTTGTGTATTGTCGCTAAATAGTGTTCTTTCTGATCATTTATCTCATCGCATAGCTTTTGCGGTGCTTTCCCCACTCACTTGACAATCTATTCAACTGACCATTATAACATGGTTTGAGCCAGAAAACAGTTCTTTACCACAATCATTTGCGGAAAAACTTTTCGGACGAGTTTTTTGCGAAAGCCAAAAAGAGTTGTTCGTGAGCGGGACACAAAGGTTGCGAGAGTGTTGCAGATGATGGAACTGATAAGTTACCTCTGAGTTGCACGTGACTTCCACGGTGGTCAATTGTCTCTGGTACAAGGAGCGCTGCTAATGACAAAGATATATTATGAATGGTCTGTAAGCAGATCTCTCTCTTGGTGGGATCTCATGCCGGTTATATTTTAAAAGCCGAGTTTTGTTAAAACTCGCTAATGATCCGTGTTTTTTCACATGTTGGAGCTGACACGAGGTTGGTACGAAAGTTATTCGGCTGTTTCGGCGCCGTTCACTTCCTCAGAGCCGCGCCGGTTCGGATCGATGATCCACAGCTGATCTTTGTCGCAATGTGGGTGTTCGTAGTCGCATCGAGTGGAATCCATTGTAGGGAGCACAGTTTGAGTGAAGAATCTTAACCAGTGGTCCCTTTTATGCGGGGTGAGTGTTGATCGATTCCCGCCTCTAATATGATCTGCCTTGTGCGGGCAGTACGTCCTGTAGCGGTCGGTACTCCTAAGGTGTTGTTTCCCACGCTACGTGCCAACATCACTCGGTGGCGTACGGGGGGTTACTTGTAAATCAAAAACGACCTTTGCTTCCCTGAAACGCAGGTGGATCCAGGGGATGGACTGCCTGTTTCTGCTACGCTGATTTGGCACATATTATCTGTATTTGCTAGACGTATTCATGCATGCGTCTTTGAGTGTGTTCTCTTTTATACGGAGGGTATTGTACGAGGCAGTTCGCCCATAAGTCTGCAATCAAGTGGATAGAAAGTATATAGGACGCGGTTAGGAGTTAGGAGTCACCCTTCAAAAAATAAGCTCATCGCCTACTCTGGAAAGGACTGGTAAGCTACCTGTGAGCATTGCCCGGTCCAGTTCAGAGCTCAGCAGGTTGTGCGTGGGTATCAAGCAGTGAATCAGTAAAGTAAGTGGGCCTCATTTCCCTGACCCCAAAAGAGCACCCGATACAGAAGCGTTGACTACGGCGAGTACGGACAGGCTGCTGAAACCTCAGGTCATTCTGGGCTGTCTAGATTTCAAGGAACCAAGGTGATGATCTAACCCACAATGCACAGTGCATCTGAGTTCTACATAGAGAACCTGATCGTCCAGGCAAGAACGGTAAGCTATGACGTCAGGAGACTGGCTGATCAGAGAAGCCCCACTCAACGCCAACATTAACACTGAAGAGGAAATTTTTCCTGGAACACTCTACGATAGAGTCGGCGTCTTCGACAAAATGGCTTTGGCCATGAACATCGATTCAACTAACACCCTGAATCGGGCGTTTGAGGGTGACAGGTATGGGTCAATACCGGCTTTGACATTCTTCGTCGTGTACGCACTGACATAAAGCTATGAAAACGAAGTCGAAGCGTTCTGTATGGACTTGGAGTTCTGTAGAGAAGACCATACAACCTTTGAGGTTATCAGTGGAGATTTTAAGGCTAAGATTGGACCCGGAAGAACGTCTAAAAAACATTATTTTGGTGCCCACGGATTATAATGATGAAACGAGCAATGTGAGCGTATGTGTGATATGTTTGGGTTTATCACTACGACCAATGCCATTCATGATAAATCGCAATTCCAGAAGTTTCGTTCTTAGTGCTGGCCATGGAATTCTTCCAATATAAAAGTGTAAGACCAATATGTACGAGTAGGGTAGCGAAATAGGCTAAATCGTAGTAAATGGAGGTTTTCGTCTAACAATTGTTGCTGTTATCTCAAAATTCTACATACGATCAGACCATCTCCTCTGTGCGAGATTCCATTTCTCGCTGAAAAGAGAAAAAGTAGCCAAATTCAAAAAGTGAAATCACAAAAGAGTCAAAAGCTGGAACTTATTCAGTTTATTTGCCGGCTGTTGGGGAGACGTCGTTATTGATAACGTCGACGAGGAACGCGAAGTATTCAACGTCTTCGCGTTAACGCTATGAAAGCCGAGAGTTCAAAAGTCTCCTGCGATGTCTATCTCCAAAAACACTAACTGCTACGCCAGTATGCAACAGCGCTAACCACAGACAACCGCCCACTGAATTTCGAAGTTGCAAAAGATACAAACGCTATAAAACAACTTGAGAGGAGCAGCAATTATGGTCGAAGTCACAGACAATATGAAAAGCATTCGCAAAGTCCTTCCAAACTTCTATATAAAACCAAGGTGGTTACATATCAACGCCTGGATGGCCCAGAGGCGGTTTTCAGAAACGGTGAAGGAAATCTTTTGCCCTTGCTACTGATATCTCTTCTATAGCCGCGTTCTCCTATCCTGGTATGAAATAAAGGAGGATGGATACGTCTCACCACCGGTTCGCCTTTCTGAAATCTGACATGCTATTTTGTCGGTGGAATATCAAACAACACTAGGTCCGGACAGAATAAAATCTGAATGCCTAGTGAACCCTTCCACATGTCCTCATCAACACACATACTTATTTTTTCACAAGTTACCTGTCAGAGTTCATGTTCTCTTCACTGGAAAATCAGCCCAGCGAAATTGTGGTATTAACCAAGTAATGTGAGCACGATTTTGGCATCTATAGCCCAGCAGCTTGCTTATTCAATCGTTCGATTCATCATAAACAGGATTGACAGAACGCTGGGCGAAGGACAACTATACGAGTAAGCAGAGTTTCGAAAAGGATTCACTTCGATCGGTGGACCGCATACACACGATAGGAAAACTCGCTGATTTATCGTGAGAGTACGAGAAACCACTCTATCTCACTTCCATCGGTTTAAAGAAGGTTTTTGAGTCAGTTTGAAAAGAAGGAGTCAAGGAAACCCTGGACAGTCAGGAAGTCCCTACTCAGTATATAGGTATTATTTGTGAACTGAATGAAGAATTTTCCAATCACGTTATCTCCGTTATGCAACGATATTAACATCAATGTCGTAAGAAGGAGGAAGTAACGCGATACCGTCTCGCCAAAATTATTTACTGCAATCGTTGAGAACGTCCTGCGAACACTGGAATTAGTGACCTTCTTTATGCCAAACTTTCAAAGATAAGTTGGGCCGGGTACGTAACTTCGCTTTACTGATGACATCGTTCTTATAACAACAAACAATATCTAGGCGAAAGGAATGTTTGTCGACTTTGATAATGACAATGCCTTTGGAAAGGTTGGTTTTTGCCTAAATTCACAAAACGATGTTCTTGAGAAACGAATTGGTTACGCATGTCTGATTCATGCTCAAGAGAATGAATATCTCCTAGTGCTCCAGTTGCGTCTGCCTAGGTCGGGAAATCAACATGATGAAGGAGTAAGCTACAGAGTTGAGCAGGAGGAAACGAGCGGCTTGAGGAGCTTTCAAGAGCATCGATGATGTAGTGAAGACAACAAAAAAACACTCGACTCTCTGCCCACCTTTCCAACTTTATGTATCCTCCTTTCTTAACATATGCGTCGAAAACTTTATGCAGGATGATAAATCACTGAGAGTTGTTGAACGCGTAGTCGAAAGGACGATACTAGGAATATCTTGTATCACATAAGTGAGCGAACTGATCCCGAACTATGATGACGTCAACGAAAAAATCAAAGATGCCGTTCTAGGGGAAAACTGGGAAGATAAGATGGGTCAGACATGTAGTGCATATGAGCGACAACCGATGGGCAGGAGCCGTTAGTGACTGGTTTCTTTGGGATGTACTGCAGGAAGATCACTGATCCGATGGTCGGAGTTTTTGATGGAAAACCATAGAAGAAAGGCACCATGCTCAACGAGTTCCTAGAGCGAGCATAACCCATTAGGTTCACTATTCTTGCACGCGACAGTGAGAAATGGAAAATTTAATGCACTCGCTCGAGTCACACTGGTCGACCAACGGGACGACAAATGGTACAGGTGACGTAGGCGGAAACCAGTAGGTCAGTTTGAGCTAGATTCATCGGATATCACGCACAGCGGTGAATGAAGCATCGATTAGTTGTGGCTGCGGCACAAAATTGAGTGTCAGACTCTTATATGTTCCATTTGCTGCTGCACCTAATTTTGTGTCATGCAGGTAAGGTTACATATATTCTTGGCTTTTTGCGATGTGCATCCATCTCAGCTCAGATAATGTGACTTCAAAAGCAGATCACTTCCATTTTATTTGTTCGCTCTGTAATTCGTTTCTTCGTATGAAATGCTGAGATATTTGCAAAACTCCGGACCGCAGGTGTATGCGGTGGGGAACGAAAACGCGCTACAGGCAAAACGAAGGACCCAGATGGTGTGGCGGTGAGGTGCGCTGCTCCCCGGTAAGAACAACAGCGCATGTTCGTTCCCTACCGCATACACCTGCGGTCCGGAGTTTTGCAAATATCTCAGCATTTCATACGTGTTATATTTCGCTACATACCCTGCCATTAAGAAGAAAAAGGCAGTAAATAAAAGAGTTAAGACTCGTTTCTTCATTCTTTTTTTTCCAATGACCTCAATTTTATTAGATCCTAATTACTGCGTATTTTCAGTGTTGTTTTGTGTATACTTCAGTTCTTAGGGAAATATTTTGTTTTATTGATAATAGTTGTTTTGGCAACTTATTGAGGCTCCTCATAAAGAAAATTGTTTTGGTGGAACTGCGTATGTGTTAAAGCTCCTATAGAGGGCTATATGATCTCACTGAAAAACTCGAGATTTCTCATTATTCCATGGGATTATCAAATATTTTTAGGCATTCGATATCCTTGAAAATGCCATACGTATAGTGGACAACGAGATAGCCCGAATAAAGGACAAGCTAGGCCGTGAAGCTAAGGAGCAGACGGATAACGCGGAGGCCGTGAAGGTTGTAGACGTGATAACAGTAGTGTTGAAAAATTCCACAAAGAATTCTTAGAAGCGTTGTACTGAGATTTCGTGGGTGTTATGTAATCTTAAAACGGTATTTGTGCATGGGAAGTTAGAAACCTGTCTATTTGTATTACATGGATGGACTTCGCAGTGACTTTTTTGACTTATATTTATTTTATTTTTGACATCTATGGTTTTATTTATCCAACCAATAGTAACCCGTGAAATTTGGCAACTACATATTCTACGGGTTAGGTTTTTTTTTATTAACATGCTTTAGGGTTATTTTGTTTCAATTAGAATAATACTTCATTTATAGGAAGTGGCTTTGTATTCTTTGCAGACGCAACGAATAAGTGAGCTGAGTGAACAAATCGGTAAGGCGGTAACGGAAATGGAAGAGCTTGGTAACCTGGGGAAAGTTGAGGAGTCAATGAAGTTATCTAAAACGGTAGAAGATCTCCGCGCACGTAAAGCAGAACTAGAGGTAAGAATTGTTCAACACCGAGGACTCTCTACTGTTCTTTTTAATACCTTCTTATAGCATTATATTTTTGGGGACTTTTAGAACCAGACCGAATTTCGTTTGGCTGGACCGGGCTCTAATGCCGCACGGCTTAGAGTTTGTGAAGATTGCGGTGCTCAGCTAAACGTCATGGATCATGAATCCCGAATCGCCGACCATTTCGGTGGTAAAATGCACCTCGGAATGGTTGAGTGTCGTGAGAAATATGCTGAAATGAAGGTATCTTACCCTTCTGAGTGTGCTATTTTCGGCTCTATCAATACCGTTATTTCGGGCAAAGTCTGAAGCTGAAACAATTTGTCATGTTTTTAACTGAAATAGGCTATGCTGACGTCAATATTTTGTAAGCATTAGTTGTTGACTGCAATGTTTGTTTCGTGGAATACGAGAGATTTCGTTGCTAAGTATTTGGCGCTAGTATTCGTCTTTTGTTCTGGTAATTGACTAACAAACCTAATTTTTGAACTCTAAAGCTTTTCAGCACTAGATTACCATACCTTTGTTGCTGAAGCATTAGACATCACGGTAAATTTTGCATGTAAATTCTAACGTAAATGCGAAGGCAGATAATAGTGGAATAGTTTTCATGCGGAATTATTTCACTTCTCAAATAACAATTCTGTTTCTTGCGATATTGGAGAGATCTACAATATCAGCCTTTGGAAGGAAAGACCGCCTGGGACGTGGACTCTACTTGCATTTTTTAGTAAGCATGGTTTGACAAGAAAGAGAGCGAGCGAGCGAGAGAGAGAAACCCATCACATTCCGCTAATACATCCGAGGCGCAAATGCGGAATCAGACTGTTCAGATTGTGCAATAGACGAAGATTCACATACGAAATTATCGTATCTGAGGCTAGGGAGTATTGAGTCAGTGGTAGTGAAGCTCACTGGTGTCCAAACAGAGGAGTAAGGTCAGCAGTACATCGCTACTGGGTGTTAGAATGTCAGCCTACCTAGAGGAAAATACTGGTAAGAAACATAATTGGAATAATAGGGTGGTTGGCTTGTGGTGGTGAAGTGGAAGGATGAAAAAGATTATTATAATGTCCAATGATCTTGCCATTTTACTAGTTCATCTAGGCTATAGGCGATGGGAAGTTGAAAGCTAACAAAATCATTTGTAGATATGAGCCATTCTCATCCTCATCTTAATTTTTTTGGAAAACTAGTAAGTAAATACTACGAGCATTAGTTATTGTAAATCTTTTTTGAGCTCTTGGAGGGTCTATACAGCGTGTACAACAACTATAAATGAATGGTTCACCGTTTTCTCCACGAGCAGACACGAGCTTGTTATTACATTATTTATTCACCCTCATTAACTGAGGTATTGGCGGTTTCGCCTTCTTCACCGCCCGACAAGGTCAAACTGACATGCAGTCTACTCATCCATACGCTTTCATGAGATAAGACTTAATACATAAATTTTCGTTAGCATAGTAAATAGCTTTTTTTAAACACACCGTTTTGTTTTTTACATGCCTTTCAGTTGTTGTTGGTTACTAACCGCGTCAAGTGTTATATGAGTGACAATATACCTGGGTAAGGTCAAAAGATCATGGCGATCTGAGGTATGGAGCGATGTCAAGCACGATGAGAAACTTCCCTTTGCGGTTCTTTTTTGGATGTTTAGATTTTACCTAAAACGCGCGAGAGTTCTGCGCGCTGTTGTCTTTGATTTATGTGCATGGATAGTAACTTTTACTTTAAAATCTCCATTATGTTTGCTGTGTCTGTGTCCCATGCTCACCTAGCGGAGTAATTTATTTAACTTTAATTTTACCCATCGGGGTTTTTTTTTTATTCTGATGCACAATGGTCTATTCGTTTCGCCAATAATGTCGCCCCAGCACGGTTTACAAGAGAATAGGTACACCATAACCGCACTCATGCTATCACTGTTAGGAGAAATTATGCAGTTTTGCGTTTCGTGTGGCGGATCATGCAAACGATTACGAAATAGCTAGCTTCCTAGAATGTTCGCAGGTATTCCAGTCACAGCTACCGATTTTCCGGAACAAACCCTTTTAAAGTAAGGTTTTGTAGTTGTACTTATTACGTCGAAAATGAACGTCAGGGTAAATGGGACCTTATTTTCGCTATTCGTTATGCTTATCGTTTGGCGGTTTGGCTTTTTCTCTAAATCTATCCCGTGCATGTTCCGTTTCGTATCCGTTAGAAATGCCCACTGTTCGCGCCAATTTCTTGGTTTCTTTCTGCTGTTTTCCTATGCCCATACCGGTGGTTGTTCGAGGAATCTTTTTGTATGTAGCTGTTTTTGGGCATGTTGATTTGAACCTTCGAGAATGGTTACCGGTCTTCAGTTTCTCTTGGATGAGATTTTTGTTGCTTTAGCGATTCAAAACATTTGTCTCTCTCCTGTTGTGTTGTGCAAATGACAAAAAAGTCGGTATAGCTAAATTAGAGTATTGCTGGAGACCGAGTACAGTGGTTTCAACATTAGATATGAACGTAGTGGGTAGGGTTAATGCCAATCGCTGTCGAATTGCCAACCCTCTCATTTGTTCGTAATATTTTCTGGTCTATCTGGAAATTGAGCAGTTTAGGTACTCCTTCAAGGGGGCGGTGAGCTACTGGGTTGAGAATCCACTGTTCTTCGCACTGTATAAGGAGTTCGAGTACGGCTTCCATTGCGGAATCATTCGACACTTTTCTATAAAGGGCGGGTAACTTGGAAGGTCTCCATAGTGTACGTTCTTTTAGGACGCGTATTACGTAGGTGATTCAGGAGCCAGAAACATTTATGCGCTCCTTAGGTGGGGTGGGCTGTGCTTTAGCAACTAGATAAGTATCGAGTTTATGAATAGGCTATTACATCCGTGAGGCCATCTATACAACGGATGACATGTGTAACATTGAACGTTGAGAGGTCGGTAGAAACAAGATCATTTTTGGTTACTAACTTATGAGTATTGATCAATAAGTATAAGACGGAACAAATTGGCATTTCAATTTAAAGTACTTCCAAACCGACCTTCCCTAAACCTCGGTGTGATTAATCAATATGTATTCTTTCTTGATAAGCTTACACGAGGTTGATAAATATATTTATTTTCGGCTAACGTTTCGACGTCTTCGTCTTCCTCAGAGCCGGTGATCCGAGTCGATGGTCCATGCTTGTTGTTCGCCTCG